GTAAATCTTTGCAGATTTATGCAATTCGACAAGCTTTAGCGAAAGCCATCGTTGCTTATTACCAGAAGTTCGTTGATGAACAAAGTAAAAAGAACTTAAAGAACAGTTGGTATCGTATGATCGTAATTTGTTGGTGGCAGCCTCGACGACGGGAACCGAAGAAGTGCCTGGTGCAGGCTCGGTACCAGAAATCGTACCGTTAAAAGGATTTTTTATTTCGTTATTTTTTTTTTTTTTCTCTCTTTTTTTATAAATTGTTGGACATTTACGGTTTGTCGCATTTATAACAGGTAGCATTTTTGGTTCTCCAAAGGTTAAGCTAAATTTCTTTGGTTGTTCCTCTGAGATACAAGATGTGTAGAAAAGCGAATACTGAGAGAGGACATTCTTTAGAACATCATTCGTCTAACTCAGGAGTGTGCTGAGTTGGGTGACTGAAGTAACAAAGAGTTGAGAAGATAGCATAAAAGTGTGAGTTCTTGGTATTGAATTCCGGAATTGATGACAAGGTACCCAACGGGTAGTATTCAGGTGTAGTTCAAAAGCGATTTTTTGGAAATTCGCTGCGTGTAATTGCAGTAACCAAATGAATAAGTGTAAATAATTACATGGAAGTAGATTTAGGATGGGAACTTCATCGAAGAGGGGAAAAAGATAGATCAATACAAAGATTAATTTCCCATAATTCGGATTTTATTGCGTTCTTGTACGGCGTTTTATCCTAGAAAGTAAATAAGTGTTGTAAACAAACTCTTAATATTGTTGAGAATGTACTAGAAAGTAAATAAGTGTTGTAAACAAACTCTTAATATTGTTGAGAATGTACTAGAAAGTAAATAAGTGTTGTAAACAAACTCTTAATATTGTTGAGAATGTACTAGAAAGTAAATAAGTGTTGTAAACAAACTCTTAATATTGTTGAGAATGTAATTAGTGGTAACTAATGATCGCAAAGGCATTATTTAGATGCATTAACGATGACAAGTTTTGTCAGTATTGCGAAAGAAGTAAACATCGCTGTATTTATCAACTCGTAAATCACTTAGTTGGCTGCAGTTCTGTGATAGATTAAATCCCAAGCAGCAGAACATGTGAGACAATAGCCTTATCAGTAATCGAACATACCGATAGAATTTCAAAAAAAAAAAAAAAATGAAATTATAGAATGATGAGAAAGTATGTACAAATAACATATTTCTATTATGCGCATTTGTGTTTGCATCTTTGGCATTTCTATCTATACGATTCTTCACATGTAAAATTGAAATAGAATTGATATAACTTATTATTTCATTTAGCTGAATGACTGAAATAAAGCATATTTAACAGAAAGATAACAGCTAAATGCATGATGCTAAGTTATAGTAAGGGCATAGAAATCATGGGATTTCTATTATGTTTATTGTTATATAATATCATTTAAATGTACAAATTGAAATTATCATTATGATTGCATAAAACGTAAAATCATAGATACTATGACAGAAATTAGTTTGCAAGATAATTTTGATGATCACAGTTTATTTTAATAATAATCGTTACTGCTAACCATTCATTTTGTGTTTGCAATCATTCAAGTTGTTCAGTAGTTTCCTTTACATATCACAAGCAATTCTATCAACATAGAGAATCTTTCCTGCAATCATTAAAATAAACAAATCTATGCATTATTTGCATAATTCAAAAAAAAAAAAAAATCAAATACATGCAGAACTCATTTATATTTGTTCTTGAAAAAATAAGACTGTAACTGGAAGTTGTAAAAGAAAAGAAACAGCAAAAATAGCTAAACATATATAGAAACGCACAATTAATCATACAAAATGAAGAAATTCTGATAACAAAGGGCAATTAATACAAAAAAAAAAAAGGAATTATATGATGCAAAATAAAAATGAATTCTGAGAGAAAAGCAACTACATTTTTTCGAGTAGAAGAGAAGAGATGAAATGAATTAAAACACGACACTTTGAAGGTGAAATCTATTTTATTAAGGTGGGTATTTTGTACAATGATGATATTTTAGGTGTGGATTATTTAAAACAATTTTCCTATCTTAATGAATACATATCTATACAAGCATAATCTCAACAATATTCTTCTTTTGTATTTACTCTTCCATCAATTACAATATTATCACAAGTAAAACTAATATAAAAAATAAAGCCAATAATCAATCATAATTTCTTTTTTATTAGTGAAAATGAATTAAAAAAGAAAAAAAAAAAAAACATTTAAATACTAAGAGCATCTTTAGTCAGGTGAAACGGACATAATTTTGATGCTTCTCGACTTAATCTCTGTTTGTTGCGACCTCAATATATTTATTAATTCTTCCTCTTCGTCCTTTTCAACAAGTAATAATGTTTATATTCTGCAAATATCAATACCTTTTTCAAAAGACTGAGACAGTTTGTTAATTCCTTATTGATTAAGAAATGAAATAGAAAAAAAATCAATCAGTGGATGCGTAGTATAAATTTGAAAAGCATCAAAAATAAGAATTACTTAATAGGAAAGTCATCCACTCCGCTTGAAATTGATAGTTGAAAATTTTGCATCAGTTTTGCTTGAAAGAAAAATTAACTGTAAACAACATCAACATATCATTTTAAATCAGACTTATTTACAAGGATTCCTAATGATCAAATCATAAGTTTAAATTGTCAAGTGTAAGGTAGCGCTTAATAAATTCATCATTTTCCATTAGCAAAAGTATTGAGAATAAAGTAAGATTCTCTGCACAGAATCAATGCTATCAATCAGAGTTAATGTGATTATTAATCTAAGAATTATCATAAAAGCTTGATAATAATTAGCACAGTTAGCTGATTATTAATCTGAGAGTCATGATAAAAAGCATTGATATTACTGATATGCCTTTTCATAGATCTAATATAATAAATGTAAAACTAACTTCACTGTCATTTGATCATTGCTAATGCTATCATTGATAAGCATAATGAATATATATCTAATTAACTCATCCTACTTTTTTTATTCTGCATTGAAATCGTGTCATTTCATACAAACTGAAACAAATTTTGTTATCAGTTAACACAATTATCTATTTAGTGCAACAGAAATATAAATAAAATGTTTTAATGAGTTTGTAATGTGACAGATGACAATTCTCTTTTGTTACATATTTCCGTATTTCTTTGCATTTACAATTTTCGTTGATATTACTAAGGTTAATTATTAAAAATGATGAAGATTTATGCGTAAAAAAAATTGGAATGAATTATTTGTAACTAATGAATATTACATTTATTGCTTATCTCCTCTTTATGGCTTGCAAACAATTAAAATTGCATGCAAAATGATTCATTAAGCCTATGAAAATAGGAGAAATATCAGATACACTTGGCTGTCTAAAATGATTGTTACATAGTTTTAGCCTAATATATTTGAATTAGATATAAATAAATATTTAATTTCAGGTTAGCACAATGAATTGGGTTCAGTATAATCATCACAAACAATTACACACAGATCGTTTCAGCAGGCAACGAAAGGTGTTCTATAAAACGTTAGAGACTTAAAAAAAAGAAACAATGATAAACCTTATCAGAAAATGGTGATAAGGATCATTTCACTTAATCTTAATTTACTTTTTGCATTTCTAAGTGATTTTTTATTCTATTTAATAACTTAAATGCTATAATTTATTAGCATTAACTACAATTTTACTGAAATTTAATACCATCAAATTTTTGTTTGCTTTGAAAGTATACTTTTTAGTATATTGTGGAGATTTATAATGCGTATCATGAATCGAGCAATCAGAGAGTAAAGAACGAAAGAAAAAATATTTCAATAATGGAAGCTGAAGCAGAAGTTTTCGAACTTTTTGAAAAATGGAAGAAAAATTTTTAAAGAAGAAAAGCATATGGTGAAATCTTTAATAATATTACTTGTTACAATGCAAAAAAATATATATATATATATATATATTTTCCACATTGTATTTTAAGATTCTTAAAATTTAACAGTTGTGGAATTTTCATTATGTAATGTCATTTTAACAATACACTATGACAATAAAAGAATACATCAAAACTAAGCGTAAGCGTAAGCCTAAGTGTAAGTGTAAGCGGAAACGTAAATATAAGTGGAAGAGAAGACGAGATCGATTATGCTATATATTTCATAATTTCACTATATAATGTATACTGAGAAATCAACACGTAACTGACGTTGAAATTTGTCTGTTCTATTACGCAACCGAATATATACTATTTTCAGTCTTTCTTACCAATTCTTACATTTCAAAAGTAAAATACTTCCAAAACTAGAAATGAAATATCTGAAATATAGTCCGTTACTGTCCCTAAGGCTTAACAAGTTTTTGAAAAGTTCCACAGAGAATTTCCAATTCATTCAATCAAAAATGTAGTTCTGCTAACTTTCAAATGTGTTTATGAGAAAAAAATGTCTGAACCGTTGAAATATCAAAATCTGTTTTCATCTTGAAAATTGTCTTTATATGACACTGTACATATATATTCACTGATGTTAAGACTGATAGTGAATCATCATCATGTATGAAATGTAAAACAGTAAAATAAATATTTCAATCACACATAAACTTATTAAAATGCGAGAACAATACCTTTCTAAAACTTTAATGGATTAAACGGGCGACCTGCACCGGAAGTTTCGTGTCCAAAGATATTAAAATATATAGAAGTCGCCACATAAAAAGCAGTAAGGCCAAATGTCTGAACAATATAAGTTAAAATAAAAATAAAATAATGAGATATCTTAAGATTTTGCTGAAAGCGCAAAGAAATGCAAACTTGAGAATACAAGCATATACTTTACCCATAAAGGAATGTTGCAATTTTTACAGTGTAACATTTAAAAGAATTAGATATATTACAGTAAGATTCTGGAATTCTTCAAAGTATCACGATGATATAGCAATAAAAATTCATGTAATATTTTTTAGCTCATATAGTTCTTCAATAACAAGTCCATTCAAATCTTGCTGGAATTCAAAAAAAATGGAAATTTTGATCATCATCCAGGACCAGTGCCTGCGCCTCATCATCATTATCTTCGTCAGGCATTACCCAAAATTCCGCCTCCTCGCCGAAGTTGAACCTTTCATCTAACTGAAAAGACAAGAATTACAACAAATCACAGCTGCTGTTAACCTAGATCTATCGAACACTAATTTATTTCGATAAAACTAAAGAATAATTGGAAATAACAAAGTTGAACCTTTTTTTTTAGTTTTTTTAGTCAAGATGATCCGTCACAAAAGATCATAATACTATATAGGATTAACTTTTGAAGAACTTACCAATAGCGCCGGATACTGTCTCTCATTTAATTCACGAATAAGCGCATCATTTCCCATTTCATCCATCAAGTCATGCATATCAGCTCCTGATCCACCGTGCACCGCATCCATATGAGCATAAATTTCATTGCTTTCTGCAGCCTGCAGTAATGACATCAAAATGTATCGACAGAACAACTAAATGAACAAATCCAGGTTCCTAGATAGAACATCAAACACATGTAAGTATATGATAACTCACAGAAAACATGCAAACCCAACAAAAATGTTGTTTGCATCGCAAGCATTGCATATGATTGCATCCTTCAAACTTTTCAATGACAGTTTGACAATTTATATTTGGACATATTCGCCTCCTAGCTTGATCCTCTCTAAATTAATATATTATTGTAGCTACAGAATTCTTTTTAGTACAAGCACGATCAACAACAAATATCTAATACAGAAACATAAATATCGACAGTATCGTAAGATTTTTATTATCTGTATAAAAATACATCGTCACTTTCAGGTGCCAGTGATAGCAGCATACTGGAAAAAATTAAGTATCAATCTCTTGAAAAAGCTCTCTCAGGTTTCCCTTAATTATTATTGTTTTATCGAAAATTGCTTTCTTGGAAATCATTTTCTCTCGGATGCCACCTCCAAACATATTTAACAACTACAGCGTCCCAAAATTATATTTCTGTTTTAAATTATTAAAAAAAAATATCCGTGGGAAGTCCATAAAATTAGTATGAGAAGAGAGAAATAAAACTTACTGTATCCATTTTCTCACCGATTCATCAGCATCAACTCTTAGTCTTGCGTATTCCTCACATGTTATTGATTCATGTTCCTCCTTTCCACATCTAGTACACTGTACACGACCACACAAACTACATTTACCCAAACCAGCATCGGCTGTGACCTTAAATTTTAGAGATAAGTGTTTAAATGGTTTAAGAAGTTTGTATCGATCAATTTGCCACAAAAAAAAAACAAAAGTATTCGAATAACTAACACAATGTAATCCTCGACAATCAGGAGTTATACAGTGCTTGTACAGATCTCCATGACGTTCAACGAAACAAGCCAGAGATGCATCTGATAATGACTGCAACTTCTCCGAATCTTCATCTTTGTTGCGATCTAAGTCTCCAAGCACAAGAACTTCCAGATCTGACCACGTAAATGGTTTCTCACAAGCAACACAAACAATTGGAAAGTTACGTGCTTCAATTGATGCCTTCAGCTGAATTAATTAAGCATATAAAAACAAATGAACGAGATGGAATAATTCACAACAGGAATCATATAATAATTATAACAAACAAAGATTCAAAACTCTTAATATTAAAATTATAATTATTATCGCGATGGATAAAAGTTACAATAACTCTATTAACAGATTTCTAGATATATATATATATGATGAAATATCAGATAATCGGACTAAGAATTCAAAAAAAACTAGGTAATAGTGCCGGATTTCTATTTTTCACAATTAAGGCCAGGTAAACATGCAACATATTTTGATGAATTAACTTTAAAATGTTCAGAAAAGAACTTACCTGCATATTTAAACACGATTTACATGCATAATGGCCGCATGCCTCTAAGCAGTAATTTTCCAAATCTGCCGTACAAAGGCAAACAACACAGACCGGTGCCCCAATTTCATTGAAAGAACTCTCTGAGGAATTACTCGACTGAATACTGTCAGAAATAGAACGCAGCATCTTCTAAAATGATATAACGATAACAAACGAATTTCCGATGTACAAAATTATGCAAAAGGAAAAAATTCCATATTTTCCCTACGTATTTTCACATGATGAACCCTCTATTAGGCTAAGAAATTGATCCCGACAAATAAATCGTATTTTAGTGAGACAAAAAACCAATTTACTCCGAATTTGATAACTGATAAGTTTATGGAAGCAAACCGCATGAGTATTTAAAACTACCTGTTCCAAACAATCTTGCGCATTACACCAAATAAATAGGAGTTTCTGTTATGAAGATAGGAAATTTTCAAATAACTAACTAAAAGCTCCTGGAATTGGGCTTCCTTGCCAATAAATAACAGTTCGCGCCTAGTAATGTTAGCATCTAAATGTAAGCCACGACCGAACTGCTTCTCCAGTGAATAAAGATCATAACCATTTTGAGCTAGAAGAGTTTTCAATGTTCCTGGTTGATAATCTGGTGGCTGTAGAATCAAAATGTGACTAAAGTCTGCATCCAACCTAAAACATAAACAAGTGAGGAAAAATTATTAAAATACAATTCAGAGAGCTATAATATTTAATATCTAAAAACTAAAAAAAAATCCTTAATGAATTTTTCAAAGAACAGCATATCAAATTCAACAATCTGTAACATTGTTCTATTGTAGCACCATCAAAGAAATTTACTGAAACGAGCAAAAGGACATGTTAAAAATTGATTACCATTCTCGTAAGAAATGCTTGATTTCTGTTTTAGCCCTTTCGACATTGAAAACACTTCCTTGAATCTTCACTTCCATCTTATAAGGAGATGTATTCAGGAATATTACATATTTTTGTGACAGATTGTACAGAAAATTTCGACCAGTTCTAAAAATTACGATGCATCCCATGAATTCTTAATATTTTTAATGACAAACTGTTTGAATTTACAGCGTACTTGACAATTCATATCAGGATCGCTTGTGTTCTATTGAAACATTATAAAAAATTTAATGATTACTACTATTATGTTGAAAATTATACTCATATATGATGTTTCGGAAGGCTCTTTTGATTCCAGGAAACTAGGTCACCACCATTATTTCTCAATGCAGAGAAAACAAATACAGGTCATTTACTTTGTAAGCAACTGATGACAGGGTAATTCAGCATTGTCTACTCTTTCACCATCTTTACATTTGATTGTATATCCGTCGATTACCTTATCAATCGCGGCTTTCACTTTGTTTGTATAACTGAAATGGATAAATTTTAGTATGTGGCTAACTTTGTAGAAGAGAAAAGGTAAATATCGCAACTCGTCAGAAATAAAAAATTAAGAACTTGCTCAAAGTTTTCCCCAGAAACGAAGAGATGGCACATTTTGTTGTACGTATCATTGCGATAGTCAAAATGAGTGTGTTCATGATCGATTGCATTATAAATATCTTTCAAATCATCAAAAATGGCTTTGAAGAGAATTATTGGGACTTTCATTTGGTAATGAAACATTTGTTGCACATAAGCCTAAAATAACTAAACGATAATTCCAGTGAATATATGTGCTTTAATATAAACTTGCAGATCAAAGAACCTAACATGTGTCATACATGTCTCATAAGGGATGTGATAATTCACATTAGATTATCGTATTATTCTTCTAGTGATTGTAATAATTGAACTATCAGAATGATTGTTAAAAAGAGATTGAAAACAAATTGATGAAGCAAACTTCGTGCATATAGTTTCCTGATCCCATTTCTAAAACTATGCCATTTTCCGCTGCTTCTTTCAATGCATTACCCACATGTATCCCAATATTCATATCATTGAAGAGAACAAATGCCATAAATTCAATTTCACCACTATGTTTTGGTGTGCGTATCTTAACTTCGAATGGATGACCATTACTACCTACTGAAAAAATGAATATTATTACTCAAATAATGAACATTATCTTCAATCATGAATATTTACAAAAAATTAACATGCATTCCAATGCATAATAATTAGAGAAATGACTGTGCTATATAATATGCTAGTTCTTATAGATTTATTTTCGACTAATATATTCTTCAAGTTGGAGTCTATTCAAAAAAAAAGCATATTGTACCTGCATTCTTTGCAACTCTTATAATATGATTAGAGATTCGTTGAGAAAGCTCCTCTAAATCTCTGAAAAAAAATTTCTGAACTTTGAAAAAATCTGATAAAACATTGACGAAATTGTATAACTATAGTAGGTAAACCAAAAATACTTCTCGCTTTCAACAGGATATTTCTTCTTTCGTACCACATATATTTCATCGAACTCTATATCATACTCATTCAGTATTGGTCTCAAAATATGAAGCAATCTTTTATCGTCAATATCTAGTGGAAGAGAGCGCAGCTGTATCTAAAGCAAAAAAAAAAAAAAAAATCGACAACCAAATGTAGTATTCCAAAAACCGTTTTCATGAAACAGAGAAAGAATAAAATTATATTTTTAAAATTAAAATCAAACCCTGCATAAGTCGTCGACGCTTAAATTCGGGTCTTGTTCCTATAAAAATAGATAATTAAACAAAAGATCTGTGAATGAACAGAAAAGAAAAAAAAGAGTGTTGATACTTACCACCACATTTTCTGATAGCAATGAAGGCTGAAAACGACCCAAATGTTTTGAAAGCACGTTGAAAGCGTAGGTCCTTAGTTGGAAATCATGAGATTTTAACTGAAAAAGATGTAACAGACTATCATATTTCATCATGTTGTCACTTTTGATATAATCAACTTAAATTATTCACTTTAATCAACTCAACGGGAAAGAGTTAGAGAAAGTTGATAAAAAAATTTGTCTGATTTGAAAGACTGTTGGACAGCAAATGTATTTCGAACCCCAACTGACAAACTATCTTGTTAAGAGCATTAATTAAAAAGCAAATGACCTTTACTTCACCATAACCATTACTGGGTCTACGCCACCACTTAATCAGTAATCGGTAAGCAGATGGATGGTAGGTGCCTTCTTTGTTCAGATAATTTCGTCCAAAATAAGGCTGAAGTAAAAATTTCAATAATCAAAATGCAACTCAAATAATAATGAAAATAGAAAGTATGGTAAAGAGAGAGCTTGGTAACAGCTATATGAAACGAAAAATAATAAACCAATACTTAAATTACCAAAAAAAAAAATTGAAAAATGAGCAAACAGAACAAACTTCAATATTGAAATCGCAATGGTTTTCTCTGTTATAAACAAAAGCACGTTTTGCAACTTCCTTATTTTCCATTCTTATTAAGCATGAATGTCCAGTTTTCTTTTGACTTGTTTTATAAAAAGTCACGAATTCTGTGATTTTTCCAAACTGCAAGAATGAATTTCTTATAGACTATCTATAAGATATTATTTCCTAACTCAGTACTGGATGCACAAACACACAAATGTATGCAACCTTCTTCTAAGCCGCTAGAATACCATCTTAGAATCAATATTTATTAAGACCATAATCTTTTTGACATAATTTTGAATAAATCAACATGCCCCATTTAATATTATCCATTGCAATGAGGAAGAAAGCAAACATTTATCCAATTTATTGAAAAAAACAAACCTTGCTGAAATATTCTTCCACTTTCGTTCGATACGCAACATCAACTGCCCAGTTAATATCATCTCTTCCAACATACATACTGCAGAATTCACCGGGCATTAAAATTTCCAGAGGTGTACCACTACCAGACATATGCAACTAGAAATGAGAATTCATGCAAATCATCTCTATTTGTAGGTGAGAAAATGTTATGAAACATTAAACTATAGCAAAAAGTTCAAATGCTTAATCTTCACATCATCATAATCATAAACAATATAACAATATTTTTCTCAAAGTTAATTCTTTACCAATAATTATGAGAATAGAATAACCGTGTACTGACCATGTAATTTGCATGCATTATTCGCACTTCTTTCGTTTTCCTACACAATAAATCCATTTTTCTTCTATAATTCGATCAATAAATGCCTTTAACTGAAAATGCAGCTACAATCAAAAACATTCTGATAGAAATGTCCATATTCTCATCTTTCCAGAGCAAAAATTTGTACTTTATGAAATTCATTGCATTATTTGCCAAATTATTATGAAACATTTGCACCGTAATTATTTAATAAAAGCATATCACTTGTTAAATAAAAATTTCATACTTTTGGGAGATCTTTAACTGGAGTATAAATCTGAAGTCTGAGATATGGATCATTAAATCTCTTCTTTTCAACACACACTCCCACCTAAACATAATTTACTGCAATGGCGAAAACTTATTACTGATTTAAAAGTTTTGTCTAATAGACAAAAAGTTTACCATCAGTTAATTTTATTCCTTTTCCTGATGGAAATTGAGAATACATGTAATGCTCTACGCTTCTTCTTTAAAGCAAAACTTTTAAATCTTTTATATACCTCTTGCTCAAGCATATCTTTATGCGATATAATCCAATTCTTCGTAGTAATTCCACATCTAATGTTATACGGTACTAATTTATTCTGCAAAAAATTTGATCTTGAAACATCGCCATGAAATTCACTATTAAATCATAAGAGTAAGAATAAAATGTTAATAGATACTAGCAAGTTTAATCGAATACTTATGGAGAAGCGAACTTTTTTACACAATAGAAGAATATATTATAGGGAAAATCTTATGAATCTGCCTTTACCTCATAAAAAAAATAGCATATCCGACAAATAATAAGAGTGAACATACCTTTCTTACCTCTTCCAACACATAATGATCAATTTCATGTAACCAAGAGGGATCCACAGCGCACACATTAAATACGAAATCATTTGAGGTACATATCGAATACTCATAAACAATAAATTCCGGAGTTGTGTCAATGTATTTCAAAGCTGACGATGGATGAATCTGCAAAATTAGGTGAAAACTAGAACGAAAAGAAACCATGTAAATTTAGCAAACTGCATCTGATAAGACTACCATCCGAATTAGAAGAGAACTACGATCAAAAGACTATCAACTCTATACAATTGGAAGTGGTGGAATATCTATAAGTTCGTACACTTCCTGTTGCTAATTCTGAACTTGTTGGAGGTATTATCTCAGTTTTGAAGTATCTAGCAACGTACGAACACATATTTCTTCTCATTAAAATCATAATATCCACGCTCCGGTAAACCGGAATACATTGCCAGGTTATTTGCAAAGGATTGATAAAAAAGATTGGGAATAACTGTTCGTGCTCTCGAAATATCAATCTTGTTTAGGTCCACATTGCGACCCTGAATTAAACAGTTCAATTGGAATCTTGTGTAAAACTTATGCATCTAGTTTATATTCTAAAATAGATGATATGTACCAAAAAATATACAAAACGTCAATTAAAAAATTCAGAAGTTGACAATAATTTACAGGATACAGGAAAAGAAAAGATTAATGCATACTTACCGTAAAACGAGAAATAATTTTGCAGATCTTATACGCAATGTTAAACACATATTTCATATGCTTTGAATTTACAAAATTTTCAAAACACCAATATTTGAATCGACTTTTTGGTGTTCTTATATATTGCAGGAATACCTAAAGTATATTTTATATTTACAATGAAACAAACCAGCCATACAAAACATAGCTGCAAAAAACTGACAACTTATCATGTCAACATACTAAAATAAACAATAGCCCTCCCTTTTTTTCGGAACAGTAATGAGTAGAAACAAGGCAATAGAAAAAATACAAATTAATAAAAGTAAAAAAAACATCTCATTGCTATAAGATTTAAATCCTTTTAAAAGTTCATTTAGACTAATTCATTAATTATGCATCAAAAAAAAAAAAAAAAAAAAATTAAAGTACCGCTAAAAGTGTCATTGGATCACCACTATCTTCACAAAATGATAGTTTCTTTTGATCTGCTAGAATAAAATTCTGAAATGAAACAACAAATTATCTCATAATAACATTTCACATATCAGAAATATGAGATATTCCACTATTGCCAGATAAAATCTCACTATATGGAGAAATTGCTGCCTTTTATTTTAATGCTTCACTAACACAAGTAGGCGAGAAGATATGAAGTATCTTGCCGTACTTTAAGGATAATGAAACACTAATAAGTGAAAAGGAATGACATGCGAAAAGTATGCTGACCAAAAGTTTTGTTCAGTAAAAATAAAAGAATAATACGCCTATTTTCTCTATTTCTCTCACTCCGAAGCTATTAGTGAGATTTTAGAGAATCTTGCAAATAATATAAATATAAATGAAAATATTATTGACTATAAAGTAATTTGAAAAACAAGAAACTGTTTGAAGTTGTTTTCTATCAGAATATATTTCAAAATATTACATTTTGTTTATTCGTACGATTGAAAAGCGACCCGACATGAATAGATGCGCAGATAATCGCTGCTTCAGACACTAAATCGTACTGCACAGAATCTAAAACCATTTTTGCGAGACGTGGTTCCACAGGTAATTGCTGCATCTTTTTACCCAGCTGGGTTAAAACCAACATACTTTCGCGGCACTCAATGGCTTTCAACGACCTAAAATGTTTCATTCAGCAGTTACATTTCTTCAAAATCTGGAAAATTACAAAAAAAAAAAAAAAAAAAAAATGTGTTTTAAAAAACACACCTCAAAAGTGACATCGAATGCATCAAAACTCCTGAATTCGGTTTTTCAACAAAATCAAATTCCGCTGGGTCCATAACACCAGCTGCTATCATATGCAATACTGCTTCATTAAGGTTGGTAAGAAGGATCTCTGGAACGTTTCTGGATTCCATTTCCTCATACTGCTCTTTCGAGTAAAGACGATAACAAATTCCTAAGCAAAATTTAGTTACAATGTACCGACCATAACAGAAGTTGTTCAAAGAAAGCTAAGTAAATACTACATCTCTCTTTAAGATAAGTTTAGATAAAACTAATCGTTTTTATTCCTTATGTAAATTAATCAAACCTAACCAGTTAGAAATAATAAGCTAATTTTTGAATCACTTTTCTTCAGCTTATTCAAGAACATCATTTTTTTTTCTCTACCTCATACGCCCATACCCGATAGACACCTCGTAAGTCTTATTTTAATTTGATCCTAATTCTATCAATTAGAAAAAATTGAAACGTGTGACTTCAGACTACATCCCTCTTGCAAATATTCAGAAGATATTTCTAAATAAAAAAATCTAAAACCTGGTGCTGTTCTCCCAGCTCTTCCAGTCCGTTGTTCTGCTGCAGACTTCGATATCAAACTCAGTTCTAGGACATAATTTCGTTTTATAGTATCAAACTTTTTCACCTGAATACAAGTAATCACTTGCAGGAATATACATAACAGGAAGTCGAAAAAATCGATTCTCATCTTCTTTTCTCTCTTAAAATTGTAAACATTTGGACTTTGAAAAGAAATAAAAATAAGGAAATACGCATACCTTCGCCAAGCCACAATCTACAATGTATCGAACACCTGGAATAGTAATTGAAGTTTCACCGACATTTGTTGCAAAAATAACCTGCAATGAAATTTTAAAGATGAAAACTGCACATCTGTAAGATGACAATAACAATAAACCAAGAAAGTTTGGAAAGCGTAATGACCTTATGATGATATTCGGGCTGCAAAGGAGCAAAAACTTCAATTCGATCTTCATCTGGCATTTTTCCATGTAATGTCATGATTTTCACGTTCACACTATGCTCAAGTTCCGCTAGTCGCTCGGAGAGGCGTTCTTCAGCTATTAGCGTTTCATAAGAACTAAAAATGACCTTCAGATAAAATACTCATTTCTTCAGGACAGAATTAATTCTGTGCAGCTATTCTTGAATTAGATAAGTTATGTTAAACCCATATGTTAGACTCCTAAGTAGCAGTTAAAAGTTACTACATATCAAACTTTGAGTAATACACGGATAATTATAGAATTTAGATAAAGCATCAAAAATTTAGATCCATAAAGTATCAAAAAAAGCAATAAATAAATAACTGTCCTACTTTGGCAAAAAGCCATAATGTGTGCTGCATGCATTTCCAAGCCATCTTCCCAAGCAATATCTTCTTCAAAAGGCTGCTTCTCAGCTTCACTCTTACAAATATCTACTACTTTTTCCACTGTTCGATCAATATAATCCTGTATTAAAGTTCTAGTTCTGCAAAAAAAGAAACAAATTATAGAGGACTAACCAAAGAGATAGCAAAATCAGAAATAGCTTGGATCAAATTACTAAAAATAATCTGTCAAAGGTTGAAAGCTCAGATACATTTGTAGTTAAGGAACCAAAAAAAGGAATAAGTGGAATAACACACAGCAACAAAACTAAATCATAATGAAGTAATTTACAAAACATGTTATATGCTCGCTGTGAAGCATATGTTAACCTAATGGAGACACCCATATGCCTACGAAATATGTGCGAGAGGGACAATTTAAAAAGTACTAATTAACTTTTACAATTTATGATTGTAATTTATGATTGTGAAAAATGTTTAAACCAACCCTTTGCATCTAGAAAAGGGTGGCTCGTAACAAATCTTGACGGAGTAATGATGTCCTGGAATTTCTAGCTTTTTTGCTTGGAACTCAGCGAAATAATTTAATAATAATTCTGGGTCTAGTGTTGCAGAAGTTATCACCTAAATAAGATTGATTATTCACATTAGGATTCAAAAACAGAAGCGAATACTTGAAAACTATTAGTTCATTATAAAACTTCTAGCGAAACTCACCAATTTCATATCCGATCGCAATTTAAGTATTTTTTTCATCATCCCTAAACATAAATCAGTATAGACAGTCCTCTCATGAACTTCATCAATCACAACGCATCCAAACTGTGACAATATAGGATCTTGTTTTATACAATCCAAAAGATGCTTCACTGTTATGAAATTTATTTTTGCATCCAGATTAGGTTTATTCCTGAAATATATTAATTGGTGTAGATAACTTAAATATGGAAATAAAAGGGGATAATCATAATGCAATTATCTGAAGTTTGAAAAGAAATATCAACAATTATAGTACATTCTAAACAGTATGTACCAAGACTAAGCTCTGAATTATATACACAAATCGTAAGCTGTAATAAATTATTCCATCCTAACAAAATGTAAATGCTTACCCATTTTCTTTATATACGGGGACGTTCACGAAACAGTAATTATTCAGTGATGTTTCTTTCTTCACTCTCATGGCTAGTTCATGTACAGCAGTCTATAAGAATGTTTATATTTCTTTCTAAAGCAATTCCACTTACGTTACATAAAACTCCAACAAATGATGTTAAAGGAAAAACCTTGCGTGGTTGACTACACAGAATTTTCTTTGAAGAATCAATGATACCATCGAATAATAAATACTGCGGAATTTGTGTACTTTTACCTGAACCAGTACCTGCCACAATAAGCAATACTCTTCCCTAAATTTGCGATTTAAAACAAATTAAATTTGAAAAAAAAAAAAAAAAAAACTGATAAGAAGAATAATCAAATATGAGTATTGTTTAATGAACACAACTTTGATAACAAGATTACTCCTAGCATAATTTCTAGCAAAAATAAAACTATTAAAAAACAAAAAATCAAATAAAATCATGGAAGAGACAGAAAATGTGCACCAACCTGATTGCACAGTATATTCTTGATGTCTTCTCTGATGCTATATACCGGCAATCCGTTCGCAAAACGATCTATTTCATGTTCCATAAGTCTAAATAGTTAATATTCACATAATATTTATGCACTATTTTAGACTATTAAATGCACAAATTATAAAAAATACGAGAAAAAAATTTTTTTTAACAATCCAGCATTTATAAAGTTTTAATCATAAACAACTAACACATAATCTAAATCTATCTGTATTTTGAAGCCAAGCAAAAACCTGTTCTGGCTAAGGAAGTTAATCTCAACCAAAAAAGAATCATGTTACCTTCAAAGAAATGGCATTTCTTCCCTAACTTAGCGATAGAAGAGAATTCAGAAAGTATCATCTCAGCTAGAATTATATTGTTATTTGAATTTGGTTCAATTAAAATTTCTTTCTTTGGATTAAAAAATTTTTCCCAAAAATTTGGTTGGTTTTTTAAATTCTTTCGTTTTTCCTTCTGCTAGTTTTACTTCAACGTTGAAAATCTCGTTACAAAAACAAAGCAACAAAATGCACTCCATTCACTCGAATATTATGACAGAAAATCAAAGACAAAATGAAACAAGCAAAGAAGTTGTTTATACAACATCTGCAGAAACCCAAGCACAAGAAATAAACTTTTGAAAGGTTACAAGTTGGAAGGCTACAAGGAAAAATCGATGCCTGCCACTAACAAGGTCACCTCATTTCAATGTTTGCCATCAGGAAAAATATAGCCAAAAAAACTGAACATTCATCAATTAATTTAACCTTCAGGAAAAAATTGATTAGCTGCAAAAGATTCAATTTATCTCTAGTAAATTACTAACTCGGTTACTCCAGCATTTGGCAGTTCTTTCAGCATTTGCACATGTCTGTTGTGTATCTTGTTGAAAATTTCTTTTGCCTGATTTTGTTTTAAGATCTAAATAATTACTAAATAATTCCTAAATCTAAATAATTCCTAAATTTTAGGATTCAAATAATAGATTAGTCACCTTATATTTTCTAACTTGAGAAAAAAAAATGAAGGCCATGAAATAGCCTATAAAATTTATCGGGTCTTACTGCACAAAAATATAACGAATATGAAAGTATTAAAAAACCACTTCTTGCTCACAGTCATCCAACTTGTCAGACCCAATAGTTTTCTTAAGATTCGTCAGTCTTCCTATGTGGTATTTGACTCTACCACGAACACGATGTAGAGACTGTTGCCAAGGCAGACATGGAACCTGTAAAACTAAACATTCATGCTCGATCTCAAGCTGCATGCCCGATAATCTCAAGAAAAATCAAATATTTTACGAACCAGTTTCTGATTTTGGCGATTTACCTTACATGACTCACTTGTATTTGTTTCTGAAAAAAAACTTTAGTTGGAAGCTAAAGAACATAACAACCAGCAGAAGGAATTGAATATATTTTGGTATTGGGCATCATATATGGTAGGATTATTCTAATTTATATGTACTTTACAACCAGTTAATACAAAATAAGAAAATTTTAATAAATAGCATTAAGAAAAGATCAAAGAACACACTGTGAAAAAATAAGTTATCTTAAATTACATTGAAAAGACAGGCACACTTCACTTCAAACTTACATCTTCTCTTTACTCCTAAAAAAAAAAAAAAAAAAACCTACTGGTATTGTTTTTGGCAGAAAATCGATTGTCAAATATCGAATACAAAAATTCTATAGAAGATGAATCAAGACAGAAGACGTCAGGAGGTTCGCCATATTCTGTAACACTACTATGGAAGAAAAATTAGAAAACGGTATAGCATTTACGCATCAAAACTTAATCTTAATAGAAGCTGGTTAAATATAATTCTAGTGCAATTCCAGTAATTAAAAAATAAGTAAAATTATCCAATGAGTTTATTTAAAGTAATAGAATATGGATTATCCCAGAGTTGTTAAAAGTAGACTAAAATTCATTATTTTGTAACAAATTTCAAGCAAAAGATATAGTGACCTTTCTTTTTTGATGAATAAGGCTGAGTTTTAATAGCAATTTCATGATCTGTACACAAAATGGATCCCGTAGTCTGAAATAAATAGTCAAACTTACAACCGTTGAAATACATAAAGAATGATTTGTGATCTGCTCATAATATGTTACGGACGGACTATAATTAAATTAGTAAAATGACTGATGTGTGTAAAGTAATTTAAAAATACAGCTTTACTCTGCTTTAGAATGAGAAATAAATGGTGAATAAAATCTTACCACTTTCATTTCATTTATGAAATATGACTGCTGGTTAATACGCGATGAGTGATTCACAATATCTGAAATAGAGAAATGATGTATGTCCATATTTTATGAAGTATATACTTAATTTTAATAAGAAAAAACGAATTGCTCGTAACGACGATCACATAATATTACAAGTACAGACGCATGCTTGGCATATTTAATAAATAATTGAAAAGCATCAAAAATAAAGATTGCTCACCACAAAAGTAGTCATTCATTCTACTCAAAATTAGTAATTGAGAATTTTGGATTAATTCTGCTTGAAAGAAAAGTCATTGCAAATACAAATTCATTAATGTCAGTGTTTCGGTGATTCCCAATGATCAAATTGTTGAATGTTAAATTATCAAATGTAAAGTAAAGTATTAAAGTTAAAGTAAGTAATATTTTCCAAGGTGAATTACCGCACTTCTCTATCCGATAGTACCAAATTTCAGGGTGACCGCTATATCCGAACGAGAGAAAAGAAATGAAATGATATCGATTCATCATGATAACCGTTAATATACTACTAAAAATCCACTACTTCTCAACACTCTCCTCAAAACTACTGAACTGTTTTGCATAGCATCCTGCTCACTCCTAATTCTGCATGTTCTGTCATCTTATGTTACAAAAACTGTAGCGTTATCGTCGGATGAGGCAGATCTCATATTTTGTCTCTATTCGAAAGTGATGGAGGGAAATGTCATAGGTAGGGGGAGAGTAGGGTTTCTCGGTGTGTGTGTGTGTGTGTGTCGTAATAGATTAATCCGGTATTCCGGTTATTAAGTCCAGTTGTTTCCTTATTGTATGCAAAAATTTATAAAAGCTTCAATTGAGTGTTTGTAAGTATTTGATGAAAAATAACATTTGGAAGTTGCTGAGTTTTAAAAATTTTCACTAGCAGTAATAACGTAATAGTTGAAGATAGTAGAGTAGTGATTTTAACAGTTCTACTTAAAGTTCGGATATCTAATATATAACTAGGCATACATGATATCAATGTGTATTCATGATTTAATCTAACTGTAAGCATTTGCAAAAGAATTTATCACTGTCTAGTCTTTTTAATTTATCATTGTCATGTTTAATTGCTTTAATAGCAAGAATGACGTCATTTGTTGTGGTGTACTATTCGATTCTCTAACAGTATGTTGTATATTTCTTTTTCTCAGGGCCACGTGTTCGAGAACGAAGAAAAACTTCAATCAGCATAGCAATGTCAACGATGAATAATACACTTCCTAACAATCAAGGAGACCATTACAGTTGTTCGGACGAAGTCGTCGTTAGTTTTTTCTTTTTTTTTTTTCCTTTTTTTGTGATGTAGTTATTGCTGGCCGATTCATCTCGACATAGCCATGTTAGCTGTAAAGACTTTTTTTTATGCTTCTTGTTTATATGCTTTGTAATCACTTCCATTCCAAATATTTTTAAAATGCTAAAGAAGTTATAATTCATAATATATCATAGAACTTGATAAAAGCACGTTGAGCACTAATATGTAAGTATAAAATAATATCTTTAAGATATTGTTTTTTCGCGTTCATGTATATGCAGAATTTGATATCCTGGAAATTTTTGTGAAAATTAACAGTAAAGCTATTGCAGCACAGCTCAGAAAAAATTATATAGTAAATTCAGCAGTAAGCACTCAGCGTTGAAGAGGCACCTTTTCTGTTAGTATAAAAAGCAGAATTATCTTAGGTTAATTGTAAAAGTTTGATTTTTATCTGTCAGAATATTTTTAAAACAAGGGTGTTAGTAAATATTGAATGACTCATGTATGTGAACATAGTACAAGTTTAATGTTTCTTTTACTGTTTATGTCAGCTTTTGGTCTATTTAAATCTCCTAGAGTTCAGAGTATGGTAAATTCTTGACATTTTATTCGTTACAGCCTGAATCGCTTCAGGGCGAATCAACAGCTGAACTTATGGCAGACCTTTCTCTCAGAGAAAAAAAAATCTGAGTAAACAATAAAAAAAAAAAAGCAAACAAAGCAAGCAATAAAAAAACGATGAAAAAGAAAATTAAAAAAGAAAAAAAAAGAATGAAAAATGAAGTGTGAAATGAACAATTCATTCTCTGAATTGAATTGAATGAAAAAGAAAAAATAAAAGTAATAAAATGGAACAAAAAACAATTTTCAGTTTTTGAATGGTGAAATTTAAAATGATTTAAACAAAATTTGATATAAATGATTTCTATTAATCAAAATTGTGATCATATTATGATCATAGCAATCGATATATTTCATAGTAATAATTTTTATTTATTCTTATATCACAAAATTTTATACTTTAATATTCTTCATACAATTTCATTTAATTATTTATAGAAATAAAATTTTTAATGAAAATAATTGAAATGTTTGAAAGAAATTATAAAATTGTCGAACGGTACTAAATATAAATAAATGACAGGTGGAAATGAAATTTTGTTAAATATTAAAATTTTTGATATTATTATGATCAAACAATTATCGTACAAATAAATGAATTTTATACCATTTTCTATTGAAATTTCTTCGTAAATTTTGTAGTTTTTTTTTTTCTTTCTTTTTTTCTTTTAAATTTTTTTGAGATTTAAAAAGTTTTCATAGCAAAAAATCGTTTTTTTTTTTACTTTTTTTTATTTTACTTTTCTTCTTACCTAAGTATGATTTTAAGAAAATAATTCTTAAATTTGTACTAAAATGACGGTTATCAATTAATTGACATAATAGAATTTAAGTTTTATTACAATCTAATCAATGTGATTGCATGAAAAAAGTAAAAAAATGAAAAGAAAACAATAATTTTTTTTTTTTAGAATTATGGATGAAATCAAGAAAATACTCATTAATCAAATTTTTTGAATTGTTCAAATTTTTTTTTCTAGCAGATATTAGATTTCTAGCGTATTGAATTTATTAATAATTTCTCGTCTTGTATAAATTAGCTTCAATAATTATTCTTATTCTTAGTTAATGTTCAATCATTAATTTTACTTATCATATTTTTAAGGTTATTTGCAAAAATTTTTTTAATTAATGAATTTTAAATTTATTAATGTTTTTTTTTTTGGTATTATTGTCATTAATTAATTAACAGAAATCATTCAAATTGAAATATTTTTGTGGTATTACTTCATCTCAAAGTTAAGTAAATATAATGTAAAACGGAAAAAAATGCATTAAAGAAAAAAATTATATATGTATAACATCAAGTTTAATTAAAAATATATCAAAAAAGCATAATCCTGACAGTTTTTTTTTTTTTTTTTTATATCTCGGTGATATGATAAGCACTAATCATATTACCAGACTTGAATTTGAATTTATTATTATTTCAATTAAAATGTCATAATATAAGATTTATTAAAAATTAAATTGAAATTGTTTATCTCAAAAAGAATTAAAATTGTTTACTTCCATAGCTATTTTATTTATGCTTTTTTATTTTAGCTTCGTGAAAATTAAATGAACATTTGCTTACATCAACTAATTAAAACTAAAACAATCATTACCTTAATTAATTTTGAAATTTAATTTATTACATTTTCATAGCATTGTTTCGAATTTTATTTTAGTATCGAATTATTAAATTTTACGCTAACATTTTGAGCAGTTGTTTACCTTTTGCTATTTGATTAATTTGTAATAATTTAGGATTATTTTTACATTTTCTTTTAAAATGAGTAATTAGAATTAAAAATTTCTCAGTAATTGTGTAAAATGAAAAAATTAAAATTTTCAAAAATTAGAATGAAATGGAGTAAAATTCAAATAATAAAAAATAATTAGAAGATAAGAGAAAAAATAACAGATCATAGGTCAACTTTTTATTTATTAATGGAAAAATGACATATGACAAATATGAATGAGCGAAGATTTGCTGAGTAGTAATACTAATTTCATTCATAAAGCCTAGATAAGTCATTCATTTTAGTTCATTGAAGCTTAAAATATTTTACGGTATAAAAAATAAAATAAAATGAAATGAAATGAGTTATTCTATCAAAATATTTTCTTTTAATTTATAAAAAGAAAAAAAAATTAATCATTAAAAACTCTTATAAAATTAAAAATGAAAATGTTAAAATTTAAAACTAAAATTTTGAAGTTTATAAAAATGGAAAAATTAAAATGTCAAATGTAAAAATATATGGCCTAGTTTAGTTAAAACATTAAAATAAGACAAGAAAAGAGACGATCAGATATTTGGCAGAGAAATGACAATTGCAGATGGATGAAATTGAAGCAAAGAAAAATTAAAAATAAGCCAAATGAGATAAATTCTTTAGTGATTATAGTTCGGTGATTATTTTTGTTTGAATGAAAAAAAAAAAATAAATTCAAATTTATTAATTTAAGTTTTTTTTTCGATTAATATTAAAAGTTTTTTCTTTCTCTATGAGAAATTTTACAGAGCTTAAATTCAATGTTTTATAATTTAGCCTTAGCAAAATAAGCGCTATGGAAAGTGTCTTAATTGTAATGGATGAAAAAATGACCTGAATTCTGAAAATATATGAAATTTGATTTTCGCATTTTTTTTTTCTTGAGTATAGATCAATTTATTTATTTAGCTTACTTACTTGAAATGTTTAATTCTTTTTAATTTATTCGAAAACTATATGTATATTTTAGTCTAAGTAAAATAAAGTAATAACCTTAGATAGAGAAATTAAAAGTTTTGAAATTTCAAATTAAATAATTCCCTGCCAAGTTTGAATTCTTAAAAAGAGACTAGACTCGATAAGAATCTCTCAACTTTATCACTCTGAGAGAGAGAGGGAGAGAGAGAGAATGATCATAGACAGGTATTTATTTTTTACTAATTTCTTGCTAATTTTCAGAAATTAAAAAAAAAAAAAAGATAAAACTGATACCCAAAGGTATTTTATAAAGGTAACATTCAGGTACTAGAAATGAAAACATACTGAAGGCTAATTGCAAGAATATTTAAATTTGTAGCTCGAATATATGATGTTACCTGATGACGATAATGAGTGATTAAACTATAATCTCGAAATTAATTTACTTTCAACATAATTGCTATAATTATTAGGATTGAATATATTTTTGACTAATTGCAACAGTTTAGAGATTAATTCAGGTAAATTCAAATAACAAATGTTTTTCGATAAACATATATAAATAATATAATAACTTTTATTTGACACATAGATCAGATAAATAACTTTTAATTTGATAACATAAGTAAGTTAATGGTATCAGTCGAAATTCTTGAAGTAACTGTAATCCATTCTGCTACAGATAATTGAACAAGAATATTGTTCAAATAAAGAAAGAAATGAAAAAATAAGAAATTAAAAACGAATGAATGCAATGAAAATGTAATTAGTCTTTATAGTAAAAGTTAAAAAAAAAAAGAAAAAGAAAAAAAACAAATGTAAGTAAAATTTTAATTAACAAAAAAAAAAGAGTTAATTGTTATTTTCGTGATATTTTGATTAAAAGATGAGTAAAATGTAGGAGAAAGATAACAAATAATGAAGCAAAATGAAAAGAGAAATAATGCAAAAAAGATAAATGAGCAATTGTTTGAGATTTTATACTTCAAATTTAGAATGAATAGATTAAAAAAATTAAATATGAAATGAAGTTTTGTTTTATTTTTTTTTTTTTTTTTGAAATTGATATTTTTAGAATTTTAAGAAATGGTTAATTTCAATAATTTAATTATAGTATTATACAATTTTATAGCAAACATTCCAGATAAAATAAATGCTTATCATTGCTTATTACTGTAAACATTTTATTTACTAATCAGCACATTGTTTACAAATAGATTATTGATATGCAATTTTCTGTTACTGATTACTGATTACATCAAGTAATATTGTATTGAAATGCTAATTTTAGACTGCATTGCTTGAAGACGTAAACATTTCTTGGTGATAATGCTAATTGTCTGATCTTTGTGAATGATTTTTATGACTCATCAATGATTCATCGTTTCATTTAAATATTTATCTGAATGTTTATTTTCTTTTGTGCATATTTTATTTCAAATCAACTAGAAATTATGACAATAGTAAAATATGAAATATTTTACTATTGTCAATATTTTAGGTAAATTGCAAATGTTATGTTACAGTGAGAAGACAAATTTACAATTTAATTTTATTACCTAAAATGACTCATCAGTCGATAGATGAAACATTTTTGTAAAACATAGTACGAAAATGCAATCATATAGAAAGTAATCATTTTGTTGTATTTAATTTATAAACATTAATCATAGAACGAAGAGTAAAGTTGAAAAATAATTTTAACCAGAATAATTAAAATTTGAATTTTAGAATTATATTAAACACTAAGAATTATATTTCACAATTATTTCTTTATAAATTATTTCATACAAATAGTAATTCATTCATTAAATAAAGAGAGAAATGATTTAAAAAATAATTATATAATTTTTTTTTTTTTTTTGTTGTTATTTAAATGACTGCTAGAAGTGTTTAATAAATTTTTTTTTTTAGCAAATTTGACGAAATTTATTCAAAGTTGAATTGCAGGCAATTTTAAAATTAAAAATGTTAATTACTCATTTAAAGATTTATTGATTACTAACTTTAGTTAATTCATTCATTCTTTATTTTTTACTTTATTAAAGTTATTTGATTATTAATTGAGACTTAAAAAAAAAAAAGTGAAAAATGAATATGGTAATGCATTATTGTTTTTTTTTTATTTTAATAAAAAACAAAATATATTAATCAAATTGAAAAAAAAAAGAAGGAAAAATGAAAAGTTTTATAAATTTAACATAAACTTTTCAAACATAAATTTTGTGAAATAAGTGAACGATTAAATTGTTTGTTAAAAGCAATAATATTCCTAAAAGCTAACTTCATTTCATCCCTTAATTCTATTTTTCTTTTATTTAATATATTTTAAATTTTAGAAACATTTTCATACTCATATACTTACTTATACTTTATTCAATCAAAAGAAAATCAATTTTTTCTTTTTTTCAGAAATGTCCTCAATCCCATGTGACAAGATGAATTTATTTCATTTTTATGAATTTCACTTTACATATGATTACTTTGCTCACTTTCATTTTCATCAATTAAAATGTTAAAATTAGCAGTTTAAATATGAAATTATCAATTTAAATATCAAAATTATCAATCGCTGATATAATCGAGAATGAAATATTACGTAGAAAGAATTAACATGCGATAGAACAAGCAACCAAGTTAACACCTGAAATTGATCTCATTTTAGTTTCCATAAAAATTTTTAAATTAAAATCGAAAAGTTTAAATTATTTTATTTTATTTTAGTAATTTTTAGAAATTGTTGATAAAATTGATTTTATTTTGTTTGCAATTCTCATTTATTTGTATAAGTGAGAAAAATTGTGAGAAAATTTTTCAATTTGAATAAAAATTAAAAGTTTTGCTAATCAGAAAAAGTATATTTCTCTACAACAATATATTCTTTTCAATTTTCTATAAAATTTGTCATAAAAAAAAACGAAAAAAAAATGAAATTAATTAAGTATTTAGCTTTTTAAAATTTCTAAACAATTTAAATATTAACAATTAACTATAATAAATTTAAGTGTAAAATATTAATTAAAGATAAATTTAAGAAAAAAAAAAAAAAATTTACAGCAGTGATAACAAAACGTGGATGAAGGATATTATTTTCAGCATTTGCTGCTAATTTACAATTCCAAGTTTCTAATGCTGCAGCAATAATTGTCATTAATGAACAAAAACCATAAATGATTAGTAACTGAAATTATTGTTAAATATATTAAAATTATTAAATTATTAATAATTTCTTTCTTCAAAAAAAAAAAAAAAAAAAAAAGAAAAAAAGAAAGGAGGAAGAGAAGCGAATTAAATTTAATTTTGCTTATTAATCTTTTTTAAATAAAATTAAAATTGAAAACGAGAAAAAAAAAAAGAAAGAAAAGAATAAACTTTAATTTACCTTAAATTTGCCATATTCTTGAAATATATTTGTGCCACTTAATTGTGTAAGTGAACTAATTAAATTAATTATCAAAATGATAAATAAACAAGCAATGATAAGTGTTTGCCATCCATAACCATTGTAACCGAGTTGAATGTATACGTCACCATTGTTCCAAATAAATGAGCTAATGAACAGAGCAATAAATGATAAACTCTAAATTAATCTAATTTTATATTAATTTAGTAATTTATTTCATTTATTAGGTTATTTTGATTAAAAATTACTTCAATCAATTAGTTATGATAAGAAGTGAATATTGATACTATCAGAAAGATATATCATTAATCTAATTTATTTTATCTAAATTCAATTTTTAAATGCATGATATACATAGTATAACAATTATTTCTGAATTATAACAAAATATACAAATTAAAATTTTTAAATGAAAACTTATAAATCTTTCGGATTAAAAAAAAAAAAAGAAGAAGAATTGAGTACCAATTGTGCAACAGTTACAATTGTGTAACCTCTTTAATTATATTTCGACTCATTTCATATCATTTATAAAATGCTATATCCATACCTGTAAATGATAATGTTATGATATGATAACAAAATTGATCATTATCACTTCATTATTACAATCAACAAATTGCGTTTTCTTTTTTTTTTTTGAAATTTCGTTGATAATAACTGATAATGAAAATACGATAATAACTGATAATGAAAATACGATACAACATTTCAATATCATATTTGGTGATAATAACTGATAATGAAGGTACAATACAACATTTCAATATTATATTTGATGATAATAACTGATAATGAATCACCATGCAACATTTTAATATTATAAATTAAATCTTTATTATTATATAAAAAAATAATATATTTTTTATTAGAATAAGATAATTATTAGATTAAACAACTTATTTCCTAATTTTTTATCAAATAACAAATAGAAATTTATTTAAAAAAGTAAAATTATGAGTGCTTTTTTTTTTTAATTTAAGAAAAAAAATGGAAAAAAGTTAAGCGAATGGAATAAAATAATGTATTTTTGTAAAATTTGAAGCATTCATAAGCATTACAGCACAACATTTATGGTACTGAGAGATGTTTGAACAATGACACATTATAAGAGACATAGACAGGTGGTTGAGAGGTGGCAAATACAAATGTTTTGCACAACGAATAATTTGAACTTTAAATAAGCACAATGAAGGATGAAGAGTTTTCACGTGACTATAACTTTATCATTGCTTATCACACACTATCTTCTATTAAGCAATCTTGAAATTATATGGATATTTAAGTAATAATATTAAGCAGTAATATTATACATTTATTTAAGTAATAATATCAAACATTATACTCAAATTTTTTAAATTAATATTAATGGTAAAGCAGGAAAATTAATTTAGTTAATTTATATTTGTTCATATTTCATTTTTTTATTATTCTATTTTATTGTTAAATTTTTAAAAAGTTTAATCAAAAACAAAACAAAATGTAAGAAGTATGGAAATTTTATGCTTCTCAAAAAAGATTACTTTAATATGCTTCAATTGGAACAAAGACAAAAAAAAAAAAAATTTGCAAAATTTTGAATTTAAAATCATGAAAAATTGAATAATGCGTAAATATAATAAAAATTGAAAATCTTTGATTTTGAAAGCTTTTTTTTTGCAATCATGAAAAAGTATTGAAGAATTACGGTCATAAAATGATTGTCTGTTTGTAAAGGTATCATTGTATGATTGCTTACAAATAATGCAAAGTTGTTGACTTATCAAATTTTACTTATATATTTCCGCTCAATTCATATTGATAATCTGATGCCACTGATAATCTTCATGAATTGAGAAATATTTTTCCAATCTGAATCTTTAACATTGATAAAATGATTGGAATGGAATTTTAAATACTGATAAGAAGTAATAACAATGATAGCGCTAGTTATAATTACTATTTAAATTCTTAATATAATAAATACAATGCATTCACGTAATGCACGTTAAAATTATCGTATATTCAATTATTAGCACATTTAATGGGTAAAGTTTTCATTTATGATAAGAAAAGTATATTCAAATCTTTGAAATAACATCGAATTGTATAATTTGCATAAATTTTTATAGTCTTTTAAATATTGAGCGCAATTAGTTTATGGAAGTTATCAGAATCGGTCGGTTCTTTTATTCCTACTAATTTTGAAAATATAATTGTAACCATTGTGCATGAAAAAATTTGAGCAAGAAAAGAAATAAATTGTAAAAATTTTTTTTATTAAAAATTGAAATTTTACCATATTGAGGTTTATATTTTGCCAAAAAAGAGTATTTTTAACTTTAATTGATTAAAATTACTTTATCAGTTGAATAGGTAGAAGTGTTAAGAATGTTGGATATTCTATCAGATGATGTCATTTGGCGTTTATTTCGATATCTCGATGTAAAAAGTAGGACACGATTTGCTGCTGTCAATACTACCTTTTATAATTTATTCAATAAGGTATTACAATGATAGTTAAAAAATTAAAATTACCTTTTTAGAATTTTCAATATTTTATAATAAATAATTTTGTAATTTATTGCTGATTTTATTTGAGATAATTTATTGCTTTGCTATTTAAAAATTCTGATAATAGGCATATCAGTTCAGCTCAAAAAGTTATCAAATAATTTAGAAAATATTTCTTATTCTTTAAATTAAAAAAGAAAAGGAAAGATTCTTAAATAAAAAAGATTTTCATTGTTAATTGTTTAAAAATTTAAAGTTAAAAATAAGAGTTAAAGGTTAAAACTGATAGTTGAAATTTTAGTGGGAAGATGTGTTATGTTGTTCAATTCGTGTTGATGGCATCACTTTGTCCGGAAAAGGTTTTATATTAGAAGTGGATCAGCATTCAGTTAATCAATGTTTTTGTTACTTTTTTTTTTTTTTTCAAGAAAAATTTATTTAAATTTATCAGACAATGCTGAAAAAGAGTAAAGTAAAAGTTAAAAAAGAATAGTTTTTCATCTGATTTCATACTTTGCCGTAATTTTGATTCGTTTCTTTTGAAATTGAAATAAACATAAGAAATGAACTAATCAAAAGAATAAGAAATGTTTGGCATAAAAAAAAAAATAAGATCAAAATAACAAAAAATGATAACTTTTAACTCAAAAAACAAAAATTAAAATAATAGAAAAAGCAAAAACTTTACTGAAATTATCACGAACTCGAGAAAAAAAAAACAACAAAACTCTTAGTTATAAGAATTTAACTTATTAAAATCAATCGATTTATAAGAAAAAAATCATAAAAAAGGAAGCAAAAAAAGAAAAAAAAAATCACAAATATTTTAATCTCCAATTATTATTATTATTATTTTTTTGTTTTTTTTTAAATAGCAAAATGCCTTTGAGTGTGACTTTTTTTTTTTTTAATTTTATTTTTTTTAAGGAATGTTTTTTTATTTATTTCAGAAATAAAATTAATGAAAGTTGCAAAAAGGATTAGAAAATCTAATGACAATTATAGTTGCAGGAATCGATAATAGTGCCACTCCTGAAACGATGTCCGTTAATCCGGAAATTAGCAATACATGATGAAAATGCGCTCCGTAATGTAAATAGCAATGTGCTGCATAATTTACTGAATGTTCATGAAATTTACATTTCGAGTAATTTTTTCACTGAGTAAGTAAATCCTTCAATTAAACAAAATACAATAATATGCATACCCTATCTGTCATCCATCATATCACAGAGAATAAACAAAAAATGTTTGTATTAATTAATTAATTAATTAAAATTTTCATCCTAATCATTCTCAATTAATTATGTAATAATTGAAAATAATAATTTTCAATATATCAATTGTTTCTGAATGCAAAAGAGAGAAAAAATTATTTGCAAAATTTAAAGCATTGCAATATTTTGTTGAATTAAATTTTACATACAGAAATTTTTCATTTCAAAATTATTATTAGTGGACATTTTTTTTTTTTTTTTTTTTTTGAAATTATAAAACAAAATGAGAAAATGCTTGTATTAATCGATCAAAAATGTTTGTATTAATTAATTAAAATTTTCATTCTAATTATGAGTGATCAAATAGGAAACTAATTTGACACCTTCGAACGTTGATTTTCTCTTCTTTTCTTTTTTTAAATAACAAAATATTCAGCAGTCGATATGATTCAGTAATTGAATCGCTTTTTTCATTTTCAAAATTACATTTACTTCATATACAACAACGATATAACGATGATAAATGTCACCGGAATATCATCTGTGAACGACAGGTGGCAAAACTTACTTCAACATCTCTTAGTGATATTAAATTACAGGTATGGATTTAATGAATTTAAATCTGTGTATCGTTTAAATCAAAAAAAATTTCGTTCAAATATGACATTTATTCGCTATTTTACTTTTGATTTATTTATTTATCTATGATTGTATCTAAACAGGAATTAAAATATTAATGATATTATTGTCACTGATAATTTTACAGGGTGTTGTAGTAACAGGATCAGTTTTAAAATTATTTTGTTTCAAATATCAGAAAACATTGGAAAAATTATGTTTATTAGGTGCACTTATACCATCTGAAGATGCGCCTATTTGTTTTCAAGCTATAAGTAAATTTTTGATCATTATTATTACAAATATATTTAATGTTATTTTTTTTTTTTTTTAATATTCTAACATTTAGTACAATTTGATATTTCAGTATTTAATTAATTTATTCAATAATATTCTCTGTTTTCCTTTTTTTTTTTTACAGATAACTTGGATCATTTAACTTGTCTAACATTGGCACCATCGTTATATTCAATTAGTACTACCAATAAAGCATTCTTTAAAAATTATCCATCATTAAAGAATTCAAAAATGTTAAAATTAGTAGCAGTATATGTGTCAAAGCCAGATATATCACAGCTAAAGTTATTCCTTCAACAAATACTTCCATCTAATGTTGAACAATTAATACTTTATGATGAAAGCTATCGTATAGCTTATCAAATTGAGCAAGAATTAAATGAATTCAAATGCAAGGTTCTAATATTCAAATAAAACTGTTTTAAAAATAAATAAATAAATAATAAAAGATGAAAGATCAGACAAGGAATAAATTTCTAACTTATATCCAAGCAGGACGATTATTTTCCTAAATCATAACAATAAACTAAACAGTTCATCGTACTATGCTCGTTAATTAAAACTGTTGAAATGAAAAAAAAAAAAAAAAATGTGAACTAATCTTTGATTTAATTCTAAAATAGCTCTACACTATATCTGATTTAAACTTTGTTTTTCTATTTTCTTTTTTTATCTGTAAAAAGTACAACTTATCAAATGTTTGTTTAGATTCATTTTTGCCGTGCTGATGATATAATCATTGATAGCTACTGGATGAATGGTAAAAGTGAATTGATAACACACACAGTGTGGAAACCACCATATAAAATTAATACTTACTTACCAGCAATGGTTTCTTTTTTTTTTTTTTTTCACATAATAAAATTTGAAAAAAAAAAAATCTCAAATATTAGTTTTTTAATTATATATTATCTTATGGATTATTCTCTTAATTATTTTAATCTTTTGTTAAATCTGTTTTAATTTATATGCACTTAAGTAATTCTTTTTTCAAGTTATAAGTTGTTTAATTATATTTCTAATATAGTAAGTATGATAATAATTTAAAATTTTGATTTCTTAACTTTTCCTAGTATCATTACAGTTCACTCATATATCATTCTTGAAAATGGATAAAACTTATATCATTTTATCATTCTTGAAAATGGATAAAACTTACTTGTTGTGGTACACACACACACACACACACACACTTATATAGAAAATGATTTGACATTAAACAGTGCAAGTTTCAAACAATTTGCGCATATTTAGTTACCAGAATGGTATTGCGTATTGAGCGAACTTATGGAAACAGCACGAATCGATGAATCACCAAGCCGTTCTTCGTCGAGCGCTGATACCGCGCGGAATATATCGCAATATATTGATGAATGCACCGGTACGGATGATTCCGCATCATGTAAGCTTAATTCTGATAGAGTTCATAGCTAAGTTAATAATTGGGAAGAAAATGCCATTGAAATCTAAACATTAGTGAACTTTTCTTTTAAATCTAACACCTCATTTCTGCATTAAACGATAATATACCGGAACAGTTATTTATCTTTGAAACTTTATGCAAGGTAAGAAGCGAACAGAATAAATATACGAATAGGTTGGCCATGGTATAATTCTAACTACTTCACAAAACTGTGTAGTAACAAGTTTCAGTACTGAACACAGATAATGAGGAAATGGTAGGTAATTCATAAATTGCAGGTAGTAGCGGAAATGAAACAGTTCAAGACCTGTACTCAGTGCAAGATAAAACACTAAAACATTGCAAGGTTTGTTTGATACTGCTACACTTCAAACATTTTCATTTAATGAGATAAATGCTAACTTTGGATTTTGTGTAGCATGTTAGATCACTGAAAGTAATTTGTTTCAGATATAAATGGATACATTTCTGAAAAATCCCGAAAAAGATAATAATTGTTATGTGATAATAACTAATAATTGAACGTACCATAATGTCTTTTCAAATTAAAGGCAATAAAATATATGTATACAAGCATTAAAATAGTTTTTAATTCACAAAAAAAAGTTTTTAAATGGAACTATTAAAATTGTGACATATCATTGAACAATTTAAAATCGCAGTACGGTATAATCATTGTCTAAAAATTTACAAATCCTCATTAATAAGATATTTGTTAGTAAGCAATTCTCTTCGTTGAAAAATAGCATCTCACAAAAAGCAAGCAATAATTTATGATGTTCAATTCATCTTACTTTCATTTTTCTTTTTTTTTTTTGCAATTGAATGACCAAACTGGCACCGCCAAGTGACCAGTGACCAGTGAGCAGAGTGACCATGTACTCTCCTTACCTATGACAGACCTTTATGTCATATAGAAATATTAAGGATACATTGAATATTATATTTTGTCTGGTTCTCACAACGATTGATTGCTCTCAGTAATTACTGAAATATGTGACATACTATGAACGAGCGATAGTATTTGCGATTTGTTAAGGGTGCGAGATTGGTGGGTGGTCTTTCTGCCGACTTGTCATAAACGAAAGGATGGAGGAATCGAAGCGAGTCGGAATAAGAGGGGTAGGGTCGTGGGTCACGTTATGGGATGGGGTCATGGGTCAAATTATGTTTTGTGTGTACTGAAAAGATTCTGATGCATTAATAATAACTTCTATTTGATGTGTAATATGTTGTAGACATTAAGTTTTGCCGATTTTCTATTATAATGATAGTTTGATTTCTTTATTTGTTTAATTCTTTCTCCATTATCTTCTACATGTGAGTTAAATTTTCTTATAGAAAGATGATTTGTAATTTGCTGAATGGCATAGAGACCATAAATCTACACGCTAACTTTATCAGTAATGATAGGACATGAGTAACTGGCTCTTAGCAAGTAGAAAATTGGACATACAAGTGCTGTTTTTCCGGTTGCTAGTTAGTTGAACTCCGTTTTTCGGAATAATATTTTTTCATTGATGCAGTATTATATATCACAGACTGGAATCATAAAAAGCATTAAAGATGATAGAGTACTTATTAGATAATAGAAGTAAAACTTCTAGCAAGTATTTTGAAAATACATGGCTGAGGACTGAAGAAAAATAGTCGATTGAACTGATAAATTGAGTATGACGAATCTGGGGACAGTGTTACTTTGAGGTTTACAGTTTAGAATTCGGTACTACACTGTGTTAATCCCTTATTTTCCGTTTAGTATTATAACAATTTGTGTTTTCTACTGTAAATCTTATTGCAGCACCTTCAATCATGGTTGTTACACAATCTGTGCAGGTATTTGGAAGAAAAAAGACCGCTACTGCTGTTGCTTACTGCAAGAAAGGACGCGGTCTTATTAAGGTATTTTGTTTGCAATTAGCACATTCTGTTGTTCCATTCGAATTCGGTTTATTTGGTTAGAAAATAGTGTGATATTATGTGGAAGTTCGTAACGTTCTGACGGTAAAAAATTATTTCCTTTGCTTCCTGATCAATCTCTGTTTTAGGTAAATGGCCGTCCTCTGGAACACATACAGCCAGAAATTTTGCGCATCAAACTTCAGGTATATTGCATCTAGCAGATGGAGCATTTATAGAGTTTGAATTGTGAGCCGTGTGTACATCTAATTCTCAATTTATTCTTATCTGTGCTGTCTAAATTTATTGATTTGACAACAACTTTACATTTTGTTTGATATTTTCTAGGAGCCGCTATTGATTTTGGGCAAAGAACGATATCAAGATGTAGATATAAGAGTGAGGGTGAATGGTGGTGGACACGTCGCTCAGGTTATTTTCAATCCGTTTTTTCTGAATAGAGGAAAATAGTTTCCTGAATGACGGCCGACTTGTATTGAAAGATTCAAGATCATATAAGCTTGTTTTCCTTGATGGCTCATGTAACTCAGTAGTTTATTGATACTCAATTAGATTGTTTCTAGTTATAATAACATTTGACATATTGCCATTTCTGCTACAGTATGTCTTTCATTCGTAAAACCATATATACTGGAAGTATAACATCACCACAAGTTCCACATTGTGTGCTGTTGAATGAATAATTCCCACATGTGAGAAGTGGATAAATGTGGTTATTATTCCTTTAATATATTTTTACTTCATAATAGCGCAAGTGTTGCAACTTTGTAGCGATACATTAAAAGAAAGATAAGAAAAGAACGGTTCTTCAGCATTTCGCTGTTATTTTAATGATAACTATGAGTGAGTTAGATAAATCTTAAATCAGTTGCAATGAGTAAAAAAAACTGTCGTAAATCTTTGCAGATTTATGCAATTCGACAAGCTTTAGCGAAAGCCATCGTTGCTTATTACCAGAAGTTCGTTGATGAACAAAGTAAAAAAGAACTTAAAGAACAGTTGGTATCGTATGATCGTAATTTGTTGGTGGCAGACCCTCGACGACGGGAACCGAAGAAGTTTGGTGGCCCTGGTGCAAGGGCTCGGTACCAGAAATCGTACCGTTAAAAAGGATTTTATTTCGTTATTTTTTCTTTTTTTTTCTTTTTTTGCGATGAATAAATTGTTGGACATTTACGGTTTGTCGCATTTATAACAGGTAGCATTTTTGGTTCTCCAAAGGTTAAGCTAAATTTCTTTGGTTGTTCCTCTGAGATACAAGATGTGTAGAAAAGCGAATACTGAGAGAGGACATTCTTTAGAACATCATTCGTCTAACTCAGGAGTGTGCTGAGTTGGGTGACTGAAGTAACAAAGAGTTGAGAAGATAGCATAAAAGTGTGAGTTCTTGGTATTGAATTCCGGAATTGATGACAAGGTACCCAACGGGTAGTATTCAGGTGTAGTTCAAAAGCGATTTTTTGGAAATTCGCTGCGTGTAATTGCAGTAACCAAATGAATAAGTGTAAATAATTACATGGAAGTAGATTTAGGATGGGAACTTCATCGAAGAGGGGAAAAAGATAGATCAATACAAAGATTAATTTCCCATAATTCGGATTTTATTGCGTTCTTGTACGGCGTTTTATCCTAGAAAGTAAATAAGTGTTGTAAACAAACTCTTAATATTGTTGAGAATGTAATTAGTGGTAACTAATGATCGCAAAGGCATTATTTAGATGCATTAACGATGACAAGTTTTGTCAGTATTGCGAAAGAAGTAAACATCGCTGTATTTATCAACTCGTAAATCACTTAGTTGGCTGCAGTTCTGTGATAGATTAAATCCCAAGCAGCAGAACATGTGAGACAATAGCCTTATCAGTAATCGAACATACCGATAGAATTTCAAAAAAAAAAAAAAATGAAATTATAGAATGATGAGAAAGTATGTACAAATAACTTATATTTCTATTATGCGCATTTGTGTTTGCATCTTTGGCATTTCTATCTATACGATTCTTCACATGTAAAATTGAAATAGAATTGATATAACTTATTATTTCATTTAGCTGAATGACTGAAATAAAGCATATTTAACAGAAAGATAACAGCTAAATCATGATGCTAAGTTATAGTAAGGACATAGAAATCATGGGATTTCTATTATGTTTATTGTTATATAATATCATTTAAATGTACAAATTGAAATTATCATTATGATTGCATAAAACGTAAAATCATAGATACTATGACAGAAATTAGTTTGCAAGATAATTTTGATGATCACAGTTTATTTTAATAATAATCGTTACTGCTAACCATTCATTTCAAACTTCATTCATTTTGTGTTTGCAATCATTCAAGTTGTTCAGTAGTTTCCTTTACATATCACAAGCAATTCTATCAACATAGAGAATCTTTCCTGCAATCATTAAAATAAACAAATCTATGCATTATTTGCATAATTCAAAAAAAAAAAAAATCAAATACATGCAGAACTCATTTATATTTGTTCTTGAAAAAATAAGACTGTAACTGGAAGTTGTAAAAGAAAAGAAACAGCAAAAATAGCTAAACATATATAGAAACGCACAATTAATCATACAAAATGAAGAAATTCTGATAACAAAGGGCAATTAATACAAAAAAAAAAAAGGAATTATATGATGCAAAATAAAAATGAATTCTGAGAGAAAAGCAACTACATTTTTTCGAGTAGAAGAGAAGAGATGAAATGAATTAAAACACGACACTTTGAAGGTGAAATCTATTTTATTAAGGTGGGTATTTTGTACAATGATGATATTTTAGGTGTGGATTATTTAAAACAATTTTCCTATCTTAATGAATACATATCTATACAAGCATAATCTCAACAATATTCTTCTTTTGTATTTACTCTTCCATCAATTACAATATTATCACAAGTAAAACTAATATAAAAAAATAAAGCCAATAATCAATCATAATTTCTTTTTTATTAGTGAAAATGAATTAAAAAAGAAAAAAAAAAAAAAAAAACATTTAAATACTAAGAGCATCTTTAGTCAGGTGAAACGGACATAATTTTGATGCTTCTCGACTTAATCTCTGTTTGTTGCGACCTCAATATACTTATTAATTCTTCCTCTTCGTCCTTTTCAACAAGTAATAATGTTTATATTCTGCAAATATCAATACCTTTTTCAAAAGACTGAGACAGTTTGTTAATTCCTTATTGATTAAGAAATGAAATAGAAAAAAAATCAATCAGTGGATGCGTAGTATAAATTTGAAAAGCATCAAAAATAAGAATTACTTAATAGGAAAGTCATCCACTCCGCTTGAAATTGATAGTTGAAAATTTTGCATCAGTTTTGCTTGAAAGAAAAATTAACTGTAAACAACATCAACATATCATTTTAAATCAGACTTATTTACAAGGATTCCTAATGATCAAATCATAAGTTTAAATTGTCAAGTGTAAGGTAGCGCTTAATAAATTCATCATTTTCCATTAGCAAAAGTATTGAGAATAAAGTAAGATTCTCTGCACAGAATCAATGCTATCAATCAGAGTTAATGTGATTATTAATCTAAGAATTATCATAAAAAGCTTGATAATAATTAGCACAGTTAGCTGATTATTAATCTGAGAGTCATGATAAAAAGCATTGATATTACTGATATGCCTTTTTCATAGATCTAATATAATAAATGTAAAACTAACTTCACTGTCATTTGATCATTGCTAATGCTATCATTGATAAGCATAATGAATATATATCTAATTAACTCATCCTACTTCTTTTTTATTCTGCATTGAAATCGTGTCATTTCATACAAACTGAAACAAATTTTGTTATCAGTTAACACAATTATCTATTTAGTGCAACAGAAATATAAATAAAATGTTTTAATGAGTTTGTAATGTGACAGATGACAATTCTCTTTTGTTACATATTTCCGTATTTCTTTGCATTTACAATTTTCGTTGATATTACTAAGGTTAATTATTAAAAATGATGAAGATTTATGCGTAAAAAAAATTGGAATGAATTATTTGTAACTAATGAATATTACATTTATTGCTTATCTCCTCTTTATGGCTTGCAAACAATTAAAATTGCATGCAAAATGATTCATTAAGCCTATGAAAATAGGAGAAATATCAGATACACTTGGCTGTCTAAAATGATTGTTACATAGTTTTAGCCTAATATATTTGAATTAGATATAAATAAATATTTAATTTCAGGTTAGCACAATGAATTGGGTTCAGTATAATCATCACAAACAATTACACACAGATCGTTTCAGCAGGCAACGAAAGGTGTTCTATAAAACGTTAGAGACTTAAAAAAAAGAAACAATGATAAACCTTATCAGAAAATGGTGATAAGGATCATTTCACTTAATCTTAATTTACTTTTTGCATTTCTAAGTGATTTTTTATTCTATTTAATAACTTAAATGCTATAATTTATTAGCATTAACTACAATTTTACTGAAATTTAATACCATCAAATTTTTGTTTGCTTTGAAAGTATACTTTTTAGTATATTGTGGAGATTTATAATGCGTATCATGAATCGAGCAATCAGAGAGTAAAGAACGAAAGAAAAAATATTTCAATAATGGAAGCTGAAGCAGAAGTTTTCGAACTTTTTGAAAAATGGAAGAAAAATTTTTAAAGAAGAAAAGCATATGGTGAAATCTTTAATAATATTACTTGTTACAATGCAAAAATATATATATATATATATATATACGACAAAATGGCTCCTTGCAAAAAGTCATTTCTAAGAGATCTAAGAAATACATTTCCACTTGTATTTTCAAATGAATAAATTTTTTCTTGAAAATTTAACAGTTGTGGAATTTTCATTATGTAATGTCATTTTAACAATACACTATGACAATAAAAGAATACATCAAAACTAAGCGTAAGCGTAAGCCTAAGTGTAAGTGTAAGCGGAAACGTAAATATAAGTGGAAGAGAAGACGAGATCGATTATGCTATATATTTCATAATTTCACTATATAATGTATACTGAGAAATCAACACGTAACTGACGTTGAAATTTGTCTGTTCTATTACGCAACCGAATATATACTATTTTCAGTCTTTCTTACCAATTCTTACATTTCAAAAGTAAAATACTTCCAAAACTAGAAATGAAATATCTGAAATATAGTCCGTTACTGTCCCTAAGGCTTAACAAGTTTTTGAAAAGTTCCACAGAGAATTTCCAATTCATTCAATCAAAATTTCATTCCCCTGATTTCCAACTGTGATACACAAATTAGTAGTTCCTGCTGAACAGCGCTGGTTCAAATGTGTTTATGAGAAAAAAAAATGTCTGAACCGTTGAAATATCAAAATCTGTTTTTGCATCTTGAAAAATTGTCTTTATATGACACTGTACATATATATTCACTGATGTTAAGACTGATAGTGAATCATCATCATGTATGAAAGTAAAACAGTAAAATAAATATTTCAATCACACATAAACTTATTAAAATGCGAGAACAATACCTTTCTAAAACTTTAATGGATTAAACGGGCGACCTGCACCGGAAGTTTCGTGTCCAAAGATATTAAAATATATAGAAGTCGCCACATAAAAAAGCAGTAAGGCCAAATGTCTGAACAATATAAGTTAAAATAAAAATAAAATAATGAGATATCTTAAGATTTTGCTGAAAGCGCAAAGAAATGCAAACTTGAGAATACAAGCATATACTTTACCACCATAAAGGAATGTTGCAATTTTTTACAGTGTAACATTTAAAAGAATTAGATATATTACAGTAAGATTCTGGAATTCTTCAAAGTATCACGATGATATAGCAATAAAAATTCATGTAATATTTTTTAGCTCATATAGTTCTTCAATAACAAGTCCATTCAAATCTTGCTGGAATTCAAAAAAAATGGAAATTTTGATCATCATCCAGGACCAGTGCCTGCGCCTCATCATCATTATCTTCGTCAGGCATTACCCAAAATTCCGCCTCCTCGCCGAAGTTGAACCTTTCATCTAACTGAAAAGACAAGAATTACAACAAATCACAGCTGCTGTTAACCTAGATCTATCGAACACTAATTTATTTCGATAAAACTAAAGAATAATTGGAAATAACAAAGTTGAACCTTTTTTTTTTTAGTTTTTTTAGTCAAGATGATCCGTCACAAAAGATCATAATACTATATAGGATTAACTTTTGAAGAACTTACCAATAGCGCCGGATACTGTCTCTCATTTAATTCACGAATAAGCGCATCATTTCCCATTTCATCCATCAAGTCATGCATATCAGCTCCTGATCCACCGTGCACCGCATCCATATGAGCATAAATTTCATTGCTTTCTGCAGCCTGCAGTAATGACATCAAAATGTATCGACAGAACAACTAAATGAACAAATCCAGGTTCCTAGATAGAACATCAAACACATGTAAGTATATGATAACTCACAGAAAACATGCAAACCCAACAAAAATGTTGTTTGCATCGCAAGCATTGCATATGATTGCATCCTTCAAACTTTTCAATGACAGTTTGACAATTTATATTTGGACATATTCGCCTCCTAGCTTGATCCTCTCTAAATTAATATATTATTGTAGCTACAGAATTCTTTTTAGTACAAGCACGATCAACAACAAATATCTAATACAGAAACATAAATATCGACAGTATCGTAAGATTTTTATTATCTGTATAAAAATACATCGTCACTTTCAGGTGCCAGTGATAGCAGCATACTGGAAAAAATTAAGTATCAATCTCTTGAAAAAGCTCTCTCAGGTTTCCCTTAATTATTATTGTTTTATCGAAAATTGCTTTCTTGGAAATCATTTTCTCTCGGATGCCACCTCCAAACATATTTAACAACTACAGCGTCCCAAAATTATATTTCTGTTTTAAATTATTAAAAAAAAATATCCGTGGGAAGTCCATAAAATTAGTATGAGAAGAGAGAAATAAAACTTACTGTATCCATTTTCTCACCGATTCATCAGCATCAACTCTTAGTCTTGCGTATTCCTCACATGTTATTGATTCATGTTCCTCCTTTCCACATCTAGTACACTGTACACGACCACACAAACTACATTTACCCAAACCAGCATCGGCTGTGACCTTAAATTTTAGAGATAAGTGTTTAAATGGTTTAAGAAGTTTGTATCAATCAATTTGCCACAAAAAAAAAAAAAAAAAAAAAAAAAACAAAAGTATTCGAATAACTAACACAATGTAATCCTCGACAATCAGGAGTTATACAGTGCTTGTACAGATCTCCATGACGTTCAACGAAACAAGCCAGAGATGCATCTGATAATGACTGCAACTTCTCCGAATCTTCATCTTTGTTGCGATCTAAGTCTCCAAGCACAAGAACTTCCAGATCTGACCACGTAAATGGTTTCTCACAAGCAACACAAACAATTGGAAAGTTACGTGCTTCAATTGATGCCTTCAGCTGAATTAATTAAGCATATAAAAACAAATGAACGAGATGGAATAATTCACAACAGGAATCATATAATAATTATAACAAACAAAGATTCAAAACTCTTAATATTAAAATTATAATTATTATCGCGATGGATAAAAGTTACAATAACTCTATTAACAGATTTCTAGATATATATATATATATGATGAAATATCAGATAATCGGACTAAGAATTCAAAAAAAACTAGGTAATAGTGCCGGATTTCTATTTTTCACAATTAAGGCCAGGTAAACATGCAACATATTTTGATGAATTAACTTTAAAATGTTCAGAAAAGAACTTACCTGCATATTTAAACACGATTTACATGCATAATGGCCGCATGCCTCTAAGCAGTAATTTTCCAAATCTGCCGTACAAAGGCAAACAACACAGACCGGTGCCCCAATTTCATTGAAAGAACTCTCTGAGGAATTACTCGACTGAATACTGTCAGAAATAGAACGCAGCATCTTCTAAAATGATATAACGATAACAAACGAATTTCCGATGTACAAAATTATGCAAAAGGAAAAAATTCCATATTTTCCCTACGTATTTTCACATGATGAACCCTCTATTAGGCTAAGAAATTGATCCCGACAAATAAATCGTATTTTAGTGAGACAACAAAACCAATTTACTCCGAATTTGATAACTGATAAGTTTATGGAAGCAAACCGCATGAGTATTTAAAACTACCTGTTCCAAACAATCTTGCGCATTACACCAAATAAATAGGAGTTTCTGTTATGAAGATAGGAAATTTTCAAATAACTAACTAAAAGCTCCTGGAATTGGGCTTCCTTGCCAATAAATAACAGTTCGCGCCTAGTAATGTTAGCATCTAAATGTAAGCCACGACCGAACTGCTTCTCCAGTGAATAAAGATCATAACCATTTTGAGCTAGAAGAGTTTTCAATGTTCCTGGTTGATAATCTGGTGGCTGTAGAATCAAAATGTGACTAAAGTCTGCATCCAACCTAAAACATAAACAAGTGAGGAAAAATTATTAAAATACAATTCAGAGAGCTATAATATTTAATATCTAAAAACTAAAAAAAAATCCTTAATGAATTTTTCAAAGAACAGCATATCAAATTCAACAATCTGTAACATTGTTCTATTGTAGCACCATCAAAGAAATTTACTGAAACGAGCAAAAGGACATGTTAAAAATTGATTACCATTCTCGTAAGAAATGCTTGATTTCTGTTTTAGCCCTTTCGACATTGAAAACACTTCCTTGAATCTTCACTTCCATCTTATAAGGAGATGTATTCAGGAATATTACATATTTTTGTGACAGATTGTACAGAAAATTTCGACCAGTTCTAAAAATTACGATGCATCCCATGAATTCTTAATATTTTTAATGACAAACTGTTTGAATTTACAGCGTACTTGACAATTCATATCAGGATCGCTTGTGTTCTATTGAAACATTATAAAAAAATTTAATGATTACTACTATTATGTTGAAAATTATACTCATATATGATGTTTCGGAAGGCTCTTTTGATTCCAGGAAACTAGGTCACCACCATTATTTCTCAATGCAGAGAAAACAAATACAGGTCATTTACTTTGTAAGCAACTGATGACAGGGTAATTCAGCATTGTCTACTCTTTCACCATCTTTACATTTGATTGTATATCCGTCGATTACCTTATCAATCGCGGCTTTCACTTTGTTTGTATAACTGAAATGGATAAATTTTAGTATGTGGCTAACTTTGTAGAAGAGAAAAGGTAAATATCGCAACTCGTCAGAAATAAAAAATTAAGAACTTGCTCAAAGTTTTCCCCAGAAACGAAGAGATGGCACATTTTGTTGTACGTATCATTGCGATAGTCAAAATGAGTGTGTTCATGATCGATTGCATTATAAATATCTTTCAAATCATCAAAAATGGCTTTGAAGAGAATTATTGGGACTTTCATTTGGTAATGAAACATTTGTTGCACATAAGCCTAAAATAACTAAACGATAATTCCAGTGAATATATGTGCTTTAATATAAACTTGCAGATCAAAGAACCTAACATGTGTCATACATGTCTCATAAGGGATGTGATAATTCACATTAGATTATCGTATTATTCTTCTAGTGATTGTAATAATTGAACTATCAGAATGATTGTTAAAAGAGATTGAAAACAAATTGATGAAGCAAACTTCGTGCATATAGTTTCCTGATCCCATTTCTAAAACTATGCCATTTTCCGCTGCTTCTTTCAATGCATTACCCACATGTATCCCAATATTCATATCATTGAAGAGAACAAATGCCATAAATTCAATTTCACCACTATGTTTTGGTGTGCGTATCTTAACTTCGAATGGATGACCATTACTACCTACTGAAAAAATGAATATTATTACTCAAATAATGAACATTATCTTCAATCATGAATATTTACAAAAAATTAACATGCATTCCAATGCATAATAATTAGAGAAATGACTGTGCTATATAATATGCTAGTTCTTATAGATTTATTTTCGACTAATATATTCTTCAAGTTGGAGTCTATTCAAAAAAAAAGCATATTGTACCTGCATTCTTTGCAACTCTTATAATATGATTAGAGATTCGTTGAGAAAGCTCCTCTAAATCTCTGAAAAAAAATTTCTGAACTTTGAAAAAATCTGATAAAACATTGACGAAATTGTATAACTATAGTAGGTAAACCAAAAATACTTCTCGCTTTCAACAGGATATTTCTTCTTTCGTACCACATATATTTCATCGAACTCTATATCATACTCATTCAGTATTGGTCTCAAAATATGAAGCAATCTTTTATCGTCAATATCTAGTGGAAGAGAGCGCAGCTGTATCTAAAGCAAAAAAAAAAAAAAAAAATCGACAACCAAATGTAGTATTCCAAAAACCGTTTTCATGAAACAGAGAAAGAATAAAATTATATTTTTAAAATTAAAATCAAACCCTGCATAAGTCGTCGACGCTTAAATTCGGGTCTTGTTCCTATAAAAATAGATAATTAAACAAAAGATCTGTGAATGAACAGAAAAGAGAAAAAAAGATGTTGATACTTACCACCACATTTTCTGATAGCAATGAAGGCTGAAAACGACCCAAATGTTTTGAAAGCACGTTGAAAGCGTAGGTTCTTAGTTGGAAATCATGAGATTTTAACTGAAAAAGATGTAACAGACTATCATATTTCATCATGTTGTCACTTTTGATATAATCAACTTAAATTATTCACTTTAATCAACTCAACGGGAAAGAGTTAGAGAAAGTTGATAAAAAAATTTGTCTGATTTGAAAGACTGTTGGACAGCAAATGTATTTCGAACCCCAACTGACAAACTATCTTGTTAAGAGCATTAATTAAAAAGCAAATGACCTTTACTTCACCATAACCATTACTGGGTCTACGCCACCACTTAATCAGTAATCGGTAAGCAGATGGATGGTAGGTGCCTTCTTTGTTCAGATAATTTCGTCCAAAATAAGGCTGAAGTAAAAATTTCAATAATCAAAATGCAACTCAAATAATAATGAAAATAGAAAGTATGGTAAAGAGAGAGCTTGGTAACAGCTATATGAAACGAAAATATAAACCAATACTTAAATTACCAAAAAAAAATTGAAAAATGAGCAAACAGAACAAACTTCAATATTGAAATCGCAATGGTTTCTCTGTTATAAACAAAAGCACGTTTTGCAACTTCCTTATTTTCCATTCTTATTAAGCATGAATGTCCAGTTTTCTTTTGACTTGTTTTATAAAAAGTCACGAATTCTGTGATTTTTCCAAACTGCAAGAATGAATTTCTTATAGACTATCTATAAGATATTATTTCCTAACTCAGTACTGGATGCACAAACACACAAATGTATGCAACCTTCTTCTAAGCCGCTAGAATACCATCTTAGAATCAATATTTATTAAGACCATAATCTTTTTGACATAATTTTGAATAAATCAACATGCCCCATTTAATATTATCCATTGCAATGAGGAAGAAAGCAAACATTTATCCAATTTATTGAAAAAAACAAACCTTGCTGAAATATTCTTCCACTTTCGTTCGATACGCAACATCAACTGCCCAGTTAATATCATCTCTTCCAACATACATACTGCAGAATTCACCGGGCATTAAAATTTCCAGAGGTGTACCACTACCAGACATATGCAACTAGAAATGAGAATTCATGCAAATCATCTCTATTTGTAGGTGAGAAAATGTTATGAAACATTAAACTATAGCAAAAAAGTTCAAATGCTTAATCTTCACATCATCATAATCATAAACAATATAACAATATTTTTTCTCAAAGTTAATTCTTTACCAATAATTATGAGAATAGAATAACCGTGTACTGACCATGTAATTTGCATGCATTATTCGCACTTCTTTCGTTTTCCTACACAATAAATCCATTTTTTCTTCTATAATTCGATCAATAAATGCCTTTAACTGAAAATGCAGCTACAATCAAAAACATTCTGATAGATCAAGAAATGTCCATATTCTCATCTTTCCAGAGCAAAAATTTGTACTTTATGAAATTCATTGCATTATTTGCCAAATTATTATGAAACATTTGCACCGTAATTATTTAATAAAAGCATATCACTTGTTAAATAAAAAATTTCATACTTTTGGGAGATCTTTAACTGGAGTATAAATCTGAAGTCTGAGATATGGATCATTAAATCTCTTCTTTTCAACACATTCCACTCCCACCTAAACATAATTTACTGCAATGGCGAAAACTTCTATTACTGATTTAAAAGTCTTTTGTCTAATAGACAAAAAAGTTTACCATCAGTTAATTTTTATTCCTTTTATTCCTGATGGAAATTGAGAATACATGTAATGCTCTACGCTTCTTCTTTAAAGCAAAACTTTTAAATCTTTTATATACCTCTTGCTCAAGCATATCTTTATGCGATATAATCCAATTCTTCGTAGTAATTCCACATCTAATGTTATACGGTACTAATTTATTCTGCAAAAAATTTGATCTTGAAACATCGCCATGAAATTCACTATTAAATCATAAGAGTAAGAATAAAATGTTAATAGATACTAGCAAGTTTAATCGAATACTTATGGAGAAGCGAACTTTTTTACACAATAGAAGAATATATTATAGGGAAAATCTTATGAATCTGCCTTTACCTCATAAAAAAAATAGCATATCCGACAAATAATAAGAGTGAACATACCTTTCTTACCTCTTCCAACACATAATGATCAATTTCATGTAACCAAGAGGGATCCACAGCGCACACATTAAATACGAAATCATTTGAGGTACATATCGAATACTCATAAACAATAAATTCCGGAGTTGTGTCAATGTATTTCAAAGCTGACGATGGATGAATCTGCAAAATTAGGTGAAAACTAGAACGAAAAGAAACCATGTAAATTTAGCAAACTGCATCTGATAAGACTACCATCCGAATTAGAAGAGAACTACGATCAAAAGACTATCAACTCTATACAATTGGAAGTGGTGGAATATCTATAAGTTCGTACACTTCCTGTTGCTAATTCTGAACTTGTTGGAGGTATTATCTCAGTTTTGAAGTATCTAGCAACGTACGAACACATATTTCTTCTCATTAAAATCATAATATCCACGCTCCGGTAAACCGGAATACATTGCCAGGTTATTTGCAAAGGATTGATAAAAAAGATTGGGAATAACTGTTCGTGCTCTCGAAATATCAATCTTGTTTAGGTCCACATTGCGACCCTGAATTAAACAGTTCAATTGGAATCTTGTGTAAAACTTATGCATCTAGTTTATATTCTAAAATAGATGATATGTACCAAAAATATACAAAACGTCAATTAAAAATTCAGAAGTTGACAATAATTTACAGGATAGGAAAGATTAATGCATACTTACCGTAAAACGAGAAATAATTTTGCAGATCTTATACGCAATGTTAAACACATATTTCATATGCTTTGAATTTACAAAATTTTCAAAACACCAATATTTGAATCGACTTTTTGGTGTTCTTATATATTGCAGGAATACCTAAAGTATATTTTATATTTACAATGAAACAAACCAGCCATACAAAACATAGCTGCAAAAACTGACAACTTATCATGTCAACATACTAAAATAAACAATAGCCCTCCCTTTTTTTCGGAACAGTAATGAGTAGAAACAAGGCAATAGAAAAAATACAAATTAATAAAAGTAAAAAAAACATCTCATTGCTATAAGATTTAAATCCTTTTAAAAGTTCATTTAGACTAATTCATTAATTATGCATCAAAAAAAAAAAGTACCGCAAAGTGTCATTGGATCACCACTATCTTCACAAAATGATAGTTTCTTTTGATCTGCTAGAATAAAATTCTGAAATGAAACAACAAATTATCTCATAATAACATTTCACATATCAGAAATATGAGATATTCCACTATTGCCAGATAAAATCTCACTATATGGAGAAATTGCTGCCTTTTATTTTAATGCTTCACTAACACAAGTAGGCGAGAAGATATGAAGTATCTTGCCGTACTTTAAGGATAATGAAACACTAATAAGTGAAAAGGAATGACATGCGAAAAGTATGCTGACCAAAAGTTTTGTTCAGTAAAAATAAAAGAATAATACGCCTATTTTCTCTATTTCTCTCACTCCGAAGCTATTAGTGAGATTTTAGAGAATCTTGCAAATAATATAAATATAAATGAAAATATTATTGACTATAAAGTAATTTGAAAAACAAGAAACTGTTTGAAGTTGTTTTCTATCAGAATATATTTCAAAATATTACATTTTGTTTATTCGTACGATTGAAAAGCGACCCGACATGAATAGATGCGCAGATAATCGCTGCTTCAGACACTAAATCGTACTGCACAGAATCTAAAACCATTTTTGCGAGACGTGGTTCCACAGGTAATTGCTGCATCTTTTTACCCAGCTGGGTTAAAACCAACATACTTTCGCGGCACTCAATGGCTTTCAACGACCTAAAATGTTTTTCTTCAAAATCTGGAAAATTACAAAAAAAAAAAAAAAAAAAAAATGTGTTTTAAAAAACACACCTCAAAAGTGACATCGAATGCATCAAAACTCCTGAATTCGGTTTTTCAACAAAATCAAATTCCGCTGGGTCCATAACACCAGCTGCTATCATATGCAATACTGCTTCATTAAGGTTGGTAAGAAGGATCTCTGGAACGTTTCTGGATTCCATTTCCTCATACTGCTCTTTCGAGTAAAGACGATAACAAATTCCTAAGCAAAATTTAGTTACAATGTACCGACCATAACAGAAGTTGTTCAAAGAAAGCTAAGTAAATACTACATCTCTCTTTAAGATAAGTTTAGATAAAACTAATCGTTTTTATTCCCTATGTAAATTAATCAAACCTAACCAGTTAGAAATAATAAGCTAATTTTTGAATCACTTTTCTTCAGCTTATTCAAGAACATCATTTTTTTTTCTCTACCTCACACGCCCATACCCGATAGACACCTCGTAAGTCTTATTTTAATTTGATCCTAATTCTATCAATTAGAAAAAATTGAAACGTGTGACTTCAGACTACATCCCTCTTGCAAATATTCAGAAGATATTTCTAAATAAAAAAATCTAAAACCTGGTGCTGTTCTCCCAGCTCTTCCAGTCCGTTGTTCTGCTGCAGACTTCGATATCAAACTCAGTTCTAGGACATAATTTCGTTTTATAGTATCAAACTTTTTCACCTGAATACAAATAATCACTTACAGGAATATACATAACAGGAAGTCGAAAAAATCGATTCTCATCTTCCTTTCTCTCTTAAAATTGTAAACATTTGGACTTTGAAAAGAAATAAAAATAAGGAAATACGCATACCTTCGCCAAGCCACAATCTACAATGTATCGAACACCTGGAATAGTAATTGAAGTTTCACCGACATTTGTTGCAAAAATAACCTGCAATGAAATTTTAAAGATGAAAACTGCACATCTGTAAGATGACAATAACAATAAACCAAGAAAGTTTGGAAAGCGTAATGACCTTATGATGATATTCGGGCTGCAAAGGAGCAAAAACTTCAATTCGATCTTCATCTGGCATTTTTCCATGTAATGTCATGATTTTCACGTTCACACTATGCTCAAGTTCCGCTAGTCGCTCGGAGAGGCGTTCTTCAGCTATTAGCGTTTCATAAGAACTAAAAATGACCTTCAGATAAAATACTCATTTCTTCAGGACAGAATTAATTCTGTGCAGCTATTCTTGAATTAGATAAGTTATGTTAAACCCATATGTTAGACTCCTAAGTAGCAGTTAAAAGTTACTACATATCAAACTTTGAGTAATACACGGATAATTATAGAATTTAGATAAAGCATCAAAAATTTAGATCCATAAAGTATCAAAAAAAGCAATAAATAAATAACTGTCCTACTTTGGCAAAAAAGCCATAATGTGTGCTGCATGCATTTCCAAGCCATCTTCCCAAGCAATATCTTCTTCAAAAGGCTGCTTCTCAGCTTCACTCTTACAAATATCTACTACTTTTTCCACTGTTCGATCAATATAATCCTGTATTAAAGTTCTAGTTCTGCAAAAAAAGAAACAAATTATAGAGGACTAACCAAAGAGATAGCAAAATCAGAAATAGCTTGGATCAAATTACTAAAAATAATCTGTCAAAGGTTGAAAGCTCAGATACATTTGTAGTTAAGGAACCAAAAAAAGGAATAAGTGGAATAACACACAGCAACAAAACTAAATCATAATGAAGTAATTTACAAAACATGTTATATGCTCGCTGTGAAGCATATGTTAACCTAATGGAGACACCCATATGCCTACGAAATATGTGCGAGAGGGACAATTTAAAAAGTACTAATTAACTTTTACAATTTATGATTGTAATTTATGATTGTGAAAATGTTTAAACCAACCCTTTGCATCTAGAAAAGGGTGGCTCGTAACAAATCTTGACGGAGTAATGATGTCCTGGAATTTCTAGCTTTTTTGCTTGGAACTCAGCGAAATAATTTAATAATAATTCTGGGTCTAGTGTTGCAGAAGTTATCACCTAAATAAGATTGATTATTCACATTAGGATTCAAAAACAGAAGCGAATACTTGAAAACTATTAGTTCATTATAAAACTTCTAGCGAAACTCACCAATTTCATATCCGATCGCAATTTAAGTATTTTTTTCATCATCCCTAAACATAAATCAGTATAGACAGTCCTCTCATGAACTTCATCAATCACAACGCATCCAAACTGTGACAATATAGGATCTTGTTTTATACAATCCAAAAGATGCTTCACTGTTATGAAATTTATTTTTGCATCCAGATTAGGTTTATTCCTGAAATATATTAATTGGTGTAGATAACTTAAATATGGAAATAAAAGGGATAATCATAATGCAATTATCTGAAGTTTGAAAAGAAATATCAACAATTATAGTACATTCTAAACAGTATGTACCAAGACTAAGCTCTGAATTATATACACAAATCGTAAGCTGTAATAAATTATTCCATCCTAACAAAATGTAAATGCTTACCCATTTTCTTTATATACGGGGACGTTCACGAAACAGTAATTATTCAGTGATGTTTCTTTCTTCACTCTCATGGCTAGTTCATGTACAGCAGTCTATAAGAATGTTTATATTTCTTTCTAAAGCAATTCCACTTACGTTACATAAAACTCCAACAAATGATGTTAAAGGAAAACCTTGCGTGGTTGACTACACAGAATTTTCTTTGAAGAATCAATGATACCATCGAATAATAAATACTGCGGAATTTGTGTACTTTTACCTGAACCAGTACCTGCCACAATAAGCAATACTCTTCCCTAAATTTGCGATTTAAAACAAATTAAATTTGAAAAAAAAAAAAAAAAAACTGATAAGAAGAATAATCAAATATGAGTATTGTTTAATGAACACAACTTTGATAACAAGATTACTCCTAGCATAATTTCTAGCAAAAATAAAACTATTAAAAAACAAAAAATCAAATAAAATCATGGAAGAGACAGAAAATGTGCACCAACCTGATTGCACAGTATATTCTTGATGTCTTCTCTGATGCTATATACCGGCAATCCGTTCGCAAAACGATCTATTTCATGTTCCATAAGTCTAAATAGTTAATATTCACATAATATTTATGCACTATTTTAGACTATTAAATGCACAAATTATAAAAAATACGAGAAAAAAATTTTTTTTAACAATCCAGCATTTATAAAGTTTTAATCATAAACAACTAACACATAATCTAAATCTATCTGTATTTTGAAGCCAAGCAAAAACCTGTTCTGGCTAAGGAAGTCTCAACCAAAAAAGAATCATGTTACCTTCAAAGAAATGGCATTTCTTCCCTAACTTAGCGATAGAAGAGAATTCAGAAAGTATCATCTCAGCTAGAATTATATTGTTATTTGAATTTGGTTCAATTAAAATTTCTTTCTTTGGATTAAAAAATTTTTCCCAAAAATTTGGTTGGTTTTTTAAATTCTTTCGTTTTTCCTTCTGCTAGTTTTACTTCAACGTTGAAAATCTCGTTACAAAAACAAAGCAACAAAATGCACTCCATTCACTCGAATATTATGACAGAAAATCAAAGACAAAATGAAACAAGCAAAGAAGTTGTTTATACAACATCTGCAGAAACCCAAGCACAAGAAATAAACTTTTGAAAGGTTACAAGTTGGAAGGCTACAAGGAAAAATCGATGCCTGCCACTAACAAGGTCACCTCATTTCAATGTTTGCCATCAGGAAAAATATAGCCAAAAAAACTGAACATTCATCAATTAATTTAACCTTCAGGAAAAAATTGATTAGCTGCAAAAGATTCAATTTATCTCTAGTAAATTACTAACTCGGTTACTCCAGCATTTGGCAGTTCTTTCAGCATTTGCACATGTCTGTTGTGTATCTTGTTGAAAATTTCTTTTGCCTGATTTTGTTTTAAGATCTAAATAATTACTAAATAATTCCTAAATCTAAATAATTCCTAAATTTTAGGATTCAAATAATAGATTAGTCACCTTATATTTTCTAACTTGAGAAAAAAAAAATGAAGGCCATGAAATAGCCTATAAAATTTATCGGGTCTTACTGCACAAAAATATAACGAATATGAAAGTATTAAAAAACCACTTCTTGCTCACAGTCATCCAACTTGTCAGACCCAATAGTTTTCTTAAGATTCGTCAGTCTTCCTATGTGGTATTTGACTCTACCACGAACACGATGTAGAGACTGTTGCCAAGGCAGACATGGAACCTGTAAAACTAAACATTCATGCTCGATCTCAAGCTGCATGCCCGATAATCTCAAGAAAAATCAAATATTTTATCGAAAAAAATCAAAAATCAAAATAAAAATCAAAACCAGTTTCTGATTTTGGCGATTTACCTTACATGACTCACTTGTATTTGTTTCTGAAAAAAAACTTTAGTTGGAAGCTAAAGAACATAACAACCAGCAGAAGGAATTGAATATATTTTGGTATTGGGCATCATATATGGTAGGATTATTCTAATTTATATGTACTTTACAACCAGTTAATACAAAATAAGAAAATTTTAATAAATAGCATTAAGAAAAGATCAAAGAACACACTGTGAAAAAATAAGTTATCTTAAATTACATTGAAAAGACAGGCACACTTCACTTCAAACTTACATCTTCTCTTTACTCCTAAAAAAAAAAAAAAAAAAACCTACTGGTATTGTTTTGGCAGAAAATCGATTGTCAAATATCGAATACAAAAATTCTATAGAAGATGAATCAAGACAGAAGACGTCAGGAGGTTCGCCATATTCTGTAACACTACTATGGAAGAAAAATTAGAAAACGGTATAGCATTTACGCATCAAAACTTAATCTTAATAGAAGCTGGTTAAATATAATTCTAGTGCAATTCCAGTAATTAAAAATAAGTAAAATTATCCAATGAGTTTATTTAAAGTAATAGAATATGGATTATCCCAGAGTTGTTAAAAGTAGACTAAAATTCATTATTTTGTAACAAATTTCAAGCAAAAGATATAGTGACCTTTCTTTTTTGATGAATAAGGCTGAGTTTTAATAGCAATTTCATGATCTGTACACAAAATGGATCCCGTAGTCTGAAATAAATAGTCAAACTTACAACCGTTGAAATACATAAAGAATGATTTGTGATCTGCTCATAATATGTTACGGACGGACTATAATTAAATTAGTAAAATGACTGATGTGTGTAAAGTAATTTAAAAATACAGCTTTACTCTGCTTTAGAATGAGAAATAAATGGTGAATAAAATCTTACCACTTTCATTTCATTTATGAAATATGACTGCTGGTTAATACGCGATGAGTGATTCACAATATCTGAAATAGAGAAATGATGTATGTCCATATTTTTATGAAGTATATACTTAATTTTAATAAGAAAAACGAATTGCTCGTAACGACGATCACATAATAAGTACAGACGCATGCTTGGCATATTTAATAAATAATTGAAAAGCATCAAAAATAAAGATTGCTCACCACAAAAGTAGTCATTCATTCTACTCAAAATTAGTAATTGAGAATTTTGGATTAATTCTGCTTGAAAGAAAAGTCATTGCAAATACAAATTCATTAATGTCAGTGTTTCGGTGATTCCCAATGATCAAATTGTTGAATGTTAAATTATCAAATGTAAAGTAAAGTATTAAAGTTAAAGTAAGTAATATTTTCCAAGGTGAATTACCGCACTTCTCTATCCGATAGTACCAAATTTCAGGGTGACCGCTATATCCGAACGAGAGAAAAGAAATGAAATGATATCGATTCATCATGATAACCGTTAATATACTACTAAAAATCCACTACTTCTCAACACTCTCCTCAAAACTACTGAACTGTTTTGCATAGCATCCTGCTCACTCCTAATTCTGCATGTTCTGTCATCTTATGTTACAAAAACTGTTAGCGTTATCGTCGGATGAGGCAGATCTCATATTGAAAGTGTGAGGAAATGTCATAGGTAGGGGAGAGTAGGTTCTCGTGTTGTGTGTGTGTGTGTCGTAATAGATTAATCCGGTATTCCGGTTATTAAGTCCAAAGTTGTTTCCTTATTGTATGCAAAAATTTGTAAAAGCTTCAATTGAGTGTTTGTAAGTATTTGATGAAAAATAACATTTGGAAGTTGCTGAGTTTTAAAAATTTTCACTAGCAGTAATAACGTAATAGTTGAAGATAGTAGAGTAGTGATTTTAACAGTTCTACTTAAAGTTCGGATATCTAATATATAACTAGGCATACATGATATCAATGTGTATTCATGATTTAATCTAACTGTAAGCATTTGCAAAAGAATTTATCACTGTCTAGTCTTTTTAATTTATCATTGTCATGTTTAATTGCTTTAATAGCAAGAATGACGTCATTTGTTGTGGTGTACTATTCGATTCTCTAACAGTATGTTGTATATTTCTTTTTCTCAGGGCCACGTGTTGAGAACGAAGAAAAACTTCAATCAGCATAGCAATGTCAACGATGAATAATACACTTCCTAACAATCAAGGAGACCATTACAGTTGTTCGGACGAAGTCGTCGTTAGTTTTTTCTTTTTTTTTTTTCCTTTTTTGTGATGTAGTTATTGCTGGCCGATTCATCTCGACATAGCCATGTTAGCTGTAAAGACTTTTTTTTATGCTTCTTGTTTATATGCTTTGTAATCACTTCCATTCCAAATATTTTTAAAATGCTAAAGAAGTTATAATTCATAATATATCATAGAACTTGATAAAAGCACGTTGAGCACTAATATGTAAGTATAAAATAATATCTTTAAGATATTGTTTTTTCGCGTTCATGTATATGCAGAATTTGATATCCTGGAAATTTTTGTGAAAATTAACAGTAAAGCTATTGCAGCACAGCTCAGAAAAAATTATATAGTAAATTCAGCAGTAAGCACTCAGCGTTGAAGAGGCACCTTTTCTGTTAGTATAAAAAGCAGAATTATCTCAGGTTAATTGTAAAAGTTTGATTTTTATCTGTCAGAATATTTTTAAAACAAGGGTGTTAGTAAATATTGAATGACTCATGTATGTGAACGTAGTACAAGTTTAATGTTTCTTTTACTGTTTATGTCAGCTTTTGGTCTATTTAAATCTCCTAGAGTTCAGAGTATGGTAAATTCTTGACATTTTATTCGTTACAGCCTGAATCGCTTCAGGGCGAATCAACAGCTGAACTTATGGCAGACCTTTCTCTCAGAGAAAAAGAAAAAAATCTGAGTGCAGTTTACCTGAACGAGCGTCAGTCTGTACTAGAAGTGAGTTATTGACCTTATATTTGAAGCATACTAAAGCATTCAGATCCATGTCGATTGCAGCGTGCTTTATAAAATAAAAGATGTTGAAGATTCTTCCATCTTATCTTGCTTTGACTAATGTATTTGTGCTTTTTAAACATGGAGTAGTACTTAGCGTTCACATATTCCCACATTAAACAGTTAAGGTACACGAGTTATTTTGAGAACTGCATCAATTTTTAGTTTTTTTAATTTATAAGGATTAGTATGAAGTTACATAGTATACTTGATGGTTTTATTGTATCTTTCACTTAAAGGGAATATAAGAATTCCGTGATATTATACCAGTTAACGCTTTGGAATATTTCTACGATTATGAAATTGAAAGGTCTTTTGATTTATACATTTATCATGCAGAGTATATTTGAGGACAGAAGCACTAGATTTTATGCATTTTGCCTATTACAATTTATTTTTTCAGAAGTTCATCAGTTGGACGGATCAAGATCAGGTGGATTTCGTCAAAACTCTTATCCGTAGTATGTGCCATGATCAACACGGACAAATAGATGCATTTTTGAAACCTATTTTGCAGCGAGATTTCATCGCCTTCTTACCAGGTTTTCAAAAAAAAAAAAAAAAAATGTGTTTTCGAGAAATTGTAAAATTTGTTTCGAACGCAAACCAGACAAAGAACTTCTGGTTTTGTTGTTGAGGTTTCTGCTGATTTTAGCCGTTTTTTGTACTCCTATCGCCAGGAAAACTAGAACAGTTGTAGATGAAAGTGGATGATATTTTTTGTTTCAAAAATCTGATTGTTTTCGATGTAGAAATATCGGAACCGACGTCTTGTTTCAGATCGGCTAGCAAGGTATGTTTTATCGTTCCTTGATGCTCGTTGGCTGAATTCAAGTGAAAAAGTCAGTCGTACTTGGCGGCGAATCATATCGCACGGAAAGCTGTGGCGCCGATTGATTGAACGAAACGTTCAGACTGACCCGGTATGGAAAGGAGTAGTAGATAAACGTGGATGGTAATATTTTCGATCTTGAAATTTTAAAATTTCTTTGGTTCGGCAACCAGTCTAGTATTTAATGGGCATGATAAAACACTTTTTTTTTTCATCTTTTCCAACTGATAATGGTTTTAGGCGAAACTTCTTATTTGTTTCGAAGGAAAAAGCTCACACACTAATATTTCAAGATTTGGGATATCCTCCTAATCTTATCGAACAGCTCAGGTTATTTCCTTTCATATCTTAGTTTGTTTGATTTAAGAGATTTTTTTTTTCGCCGAAATTTATAATAGTATGAAAGCAAATGGATACTCACTGTATCGTGAAAATATTAGTTTGGTACTTTGCTGAGAGGATTTTTTGTAATAATGGATTCGAAAAAAATTGAATATTGATTGGCTTTATGCTAATTTTTTAAATATTAATGCTAAAAAACTTCGTGTTTTTTCAGGAATACAGTAGATTCACTAGAAGCCCAGCATCATTTTTATAGAAATTTGTATCCCAAAATAAATCAAGATATTGAATCTCTCAAATCTAATTGGCAAAATGGACGGCATGTATTATCCCGCATTACTTGTCATTCAGAACCTAGTAGAGGTGCTTCATTTATGACTCTTCATATGTTGCTTTATAGTGTTGGTTGTGAAAATTGTTGCTTACGACATTGAAAATATGTCAGAAAATTCTTTTTTTTTTTTGGCTAGAGATTTTTTTGCCTATTAAGCTTTTATTTTTTCTGCTGCATTAAGATAGGAAATTGTTTAGGTGTGTATTGCCTACAGTATGATGACGATAAAATAATATCGGGACTACGAGATCACACAATCAAGATCTGGCAGCGAAAAGATTTACAATGTTCGAAAACTTTACGTGGACACACTGGCTCGGTGCTTTGTCTACAGTATGATGATCGAGTCATTATTAGTGGAAGTAGCGATACTACAGTAAGGCATGTAAACATTGTACTAACTTTGTGTTCACTATTTGAAAAATCAAATTTTTTACTTTTTCGTTGATGTTGGATCAGACAACATGTTGAATCGTAGATTAACAACTTTATGACATTACTTTCTGCTTCAAATTCAATTGGTCACATTTGAGTTTTTTCTCTTTAGATAGTGTTGATATCTATCTTCGCAACATTTTGATCATTTATCAAGTATTTCATAATGTCTTTATTATTTTTATCTGGGATCATAATTTTTATAAAATTTTTTTTTTTGACTTTCTTTTTTCTTTTACTATGAGTTTTTCAGTTTTTATAACTTTAAATTTTTGAATAAAATGTTTGTAGAGTGTGGGATGTGCACACTGGAGAACTGCTGCATACATTGATGCATCACGTTGAGGCAGTTTTGCACTTACGTTTCCAAAATGGCATGATGGTTACCTGGTACGCTTTCGATATAAAATTATTTTAGAATCCGTCCAATGGAAATTTGTTGGTATTTACAGTCAGGAGATATTCAGTAATTTGTGAATATTTCAGTTCTAAGGATCGTTCAATAGCAGTTTGGGGTATGATTTCTCCACGTGAAATCAACGTACGTCGTGTGCTTGTAGCTCATCGCGCTGCTGTTAATGTTGTAGATTTTGACAGCAAATATATTGTTTCAGCCTCGGGTGATCGTACAATTAAAGTGAGCACTGATTTCCTATTACAGATATTTATGATATTAAACTTTTGCTCTCAGTGCGGTTCTTCGCTCCAACTCTTCTTTTTATTCTTTCTCAAACTTAACAGTTTGTCTTTATGAAGTCTGATTTTACATATTGTCATGCATTAAAAGTGATACGTCAATTTTCTAATAATGGCAGTATGGTTTTTCAAGTTGAAAGTAGTTTACGATCTTCTATTTATTAAACTTCGGAGATTACATTTTTTTTTTCACGTTTTAAGGTTTGGAGCACTGATACATGTGAATTTGTACGGACTATGATCGGTCATAGACGAGGCATTGCATGCTTGCAGTATCATGACCGACTAGTTGTGTCTGGTTCAAGTGATAATACTATCAGGTTCACTTAAAAGTCTCGATAAAAATGAATGGATAAATATTTATTATTTGGGAAAAACATTCACATTTGTTTTGTGATTACGTTATTTTTCGAATAATTCAGGTTATGGGATATTGAAATAGGCGCTTGTCTAAGAGTTCTGGAAGGTCATGAACAACTAGTTCGTTGTATTCGATTCGACTCGAAACGTATTGTTTCTGGTGCTTATGATGGGTATGTTCTTGTCATATTTGTATTTTGGTTTGTTTCTTGACTATGTATGGTATTTTTTCGATTTCGATAGTTTCAGACGAATCAAAGTTTGGGATCTTCAAGCAGCAATGAATCCGCGTTCTCCACCAGATAGTATATGCTTATTAACATTGGTGGTAAGTGATTTAAAATGAAAATAATGGTGAATTTAAGTAAGGTACTTTCTTTATGCATTGCTCTATGCATTTTTAAAACTTGATGGAAAACACTATTGATGCACGATGCATATTTCTCCGAAGCTTCAACTATAATAAATATGTGTTGTATTCTAGATACAGAAAAATGAATACTTCGAAACAAATTAGCTACCTGTGGTATTTTGAAAACTGAGAAATATAGTTGTGAAAGAATCTGGAATAAAAGATAACTGTGTTTGATTTGTGCTCATATTATGTTTTGGAAGCATAGTTAACCGTTAACGAAAATTATAAAAAACTTTGTAGCTAATGGTATATTTTAACTTCAGGAGCACACAGGTCGAGTTTTTCGTCTGCAGTTTGATGAATTTCAAATAGTGTCTTCTTCCCATGATGACACGATACTTATTTGGGATTTCCTTGAGCCGCAGCCTGAAACTCATGCACTGGAAGGCACACTTCAGCAGACTTCAGGGCCTGCTGCTGTGCCAAGTGCTGATAATGCAGCACAAGTACCGAACGTTGGTGGAGTACCTCAGGTTGATCAGCAGAATTTAGAAGATTCTGAAAACGGTGAGTTTTCATAATTGCTATTTCTAGTTCATAGATATCTCATAGCTAACACTCTCTCGTTTTTATGCTGGATCTGTAATAGTTATTGATATCAATTTTATTTCAGATGATGATGTAGATGATGTGGTACGACAGCGACAGGTGCCAATGGAAGTTGTTGAACTTGCGGCCTTAAATGAAAGGGATAGGTTCGTTTCAGAAGTACCTTGCGAAATGTAATTAATTAGTGCTAGAGCGGGCAAGAATGTACTTTTTTAATTTCAGTCGTACTTATAGGTTTATTGTCCTTTCCATTATACAGAAATTTAAGTCTTACTTTAATGGGTTCAGTTTAACCTTGTTATTTACTTTTTTTTTTTCTAGGGAGAATAACAGTCCGTCAGAACATGATGGAGAATATGAACAAAGGCGTCGTGACGCTGACGCTAGGATTTAACTTGCACGAAATTCTTTCTAATTTTGCGCTGAACTGACGTATGCTTATAGTTCTTAATGAGTTTTTGTTTCAATTCTCGATTCATCAAAGTATGAATTATTTGTTTTAGAAATCAACATTGATACCACTGTCTTACAATTTTTATGTTTTTCATTTCATAGGATGTATGTATGTATGTATGTATGTGTGTTTGTGTCTGTCTGTGTGTGTTAGGAAATAGATTTTTTTGGTACTTTAGATTGATGCTATTAACTTCTGGCAAGAACTATGAGTATTGAATCCAATTTCTTTATAAATCGTTTATTTTTACTTCAGGTTTTTTAAATTACTTTTAGAATGTAATTCTGAGTTACTGAACTGATTACTCTCAAATACTTCTTTGGCGAATCTAGTTTTCGTTTCTCTAGTATAATGATAGACTCGGATTCAAGCCTCAATTCAGACCATACTGTGGTCTGAATTAATCCTTAGTTTTTGTTCATAAGTTGTATGCTCGATAAATTTCCAACCACTATTCGAATATCATTCCGTTACGTTTAACTTAGTGCATAATTCACTTTATCAATCTCCAACTGAAATAACCGATTAAACATTCCTAATCCTCCCCATTCACAAATTCTTTCAGAAGTACAAGAATGATTACGTCGAGCTTATGGTATTCTTCTATAAAAAGCTTTCTCAATGTTTTCATTTTTTTTTTTTTGAACTGTGATGTTTTTTTTTTTTCTTTTCTTTTGTTTTCTTCCATTGATACTTTTTTTGTCATTTGATGAGTCTTTTAGAACTAGTAGATCATATATTGAGTGACTGTGAGAAATTTGGTATTTTGGGACAAAAGATTTAATAATCGTGTATTTTAATTTTTTTTAAAAGTTTTTCTGACTCATCTGTTATGAGAAGCAAATTTTATAATGCACATTCTTTTGTATTATAATTAGGTTTGTATCTGTCTTTGTAATTGCCAATGGACCGGGAGACTTAGGCGTTCAATTTTTTATGGAAATCATTTAAATATATTTTTAGTTATCTAACTCATTTGTTGATGGAGTATTCTGCTTTCAGACGTATCTTTTTAGCTTCCAATTTTGGATATTTCGCAAAATTCCATAAATTTTATAAAACTAACCTCCGATTCACATGTACGGGTTTTCGCAAATGTTGCTGTCACTGAAACAGTGCATTCTTGTTCATGTTTATGATATCAAATGATCAACCTTGTGTTTATACTATGAAAATTGCATAAAAGTATATCTGTGACGTATTTCGTCCAAAAAAAGATCAGAGATCCGCTGATCAAAGCATTTTAGTTGATAGCTAGCTATGTATATTAATAGAAAATGTATAATTCAGCGAAATATTTCGTTATCCTTTATGCTATATAAATGATCACTCAGTATTATTATTATAGGTCATTCTGATGGTACTATATATAGGTCAATATGTTTACGATATATGCTACCACTGGAGACATCAATAGATGACCACTGATTGGTCTCTATTGAATTGTAATCTGGTCACAACCCTGTGAAGAGAGGGAGGGTGAGAGAAATGTACAGACGTTTGTTGTCTACGGCACTCCAATTTAGTTGATGACATTAGTGCACCTGTTATTTTCCTCTGATCACTCTTCGGATAGTTTGTTTTTTTTTTTTTTTTTTTTTTTGAAGAGCATTGAAGTGGAAAAAGAGAAAATATGTGGTCGTGAACGAGATGAGTGAGAAAAGAAAAAAAAAGAAAGCAGTATAGATAGATCTAAAATAACAAAACACAGCTGTTCTTTCAATCTAGTGACATCATCATTCCTTGCATAGGAACAAAAATTGAAGAATTTGAAATGAACTCTATCTTCTTTATCTCACTCCCAACCTAGAGTTTTGGCGCTTATAATTATAGGAATGGTTTTGGATAAATAATATTTGTTTATTGGGATATGTCAAAGGTCACATGATAGTTAGCTATTTCAATATGCAAGATTATTGAGCGGGAAGATGATATAGTAGTTTTATATAAATTGGATGAGCCTGGAACTAACATTCACTGTATTTTATTGATGTTGTTCTATTCCGGTGACTTGTACATACAATCTCGTCCACAAGTTTCTTCCTAATGAATTTAACAATGCAATTCTTCTCGTCCTTAATTCAATTATACGTGTAATGTCACGTAGAAGCTAACACTAAAATGTGCACAAATTAAAATACCAGATCGATCCACTGCGGATTTTAGGATAGTGTCATCCGTATATGTTTCTAATCATTGTTCCTTTTAACTATTTTGTTTTGATGAACCATTACCAGTATGTATTTTAGTGTTGGTTTCTAAAGGAGTTTAACATCGAAGATGTCTAACATTTCCCTTTTTTTTTTTTTAATCGACTAACGCGTTTTGTAGTTCGTTTAATCCTCTAAGTATTTTTGTCTAATGTGTTCGTTCATCTTATGTGCTTGGTAAATAGAACTGTCAACAAAGTAATGTTGATTTGAGATATCATTAGTTTTCGAAATATTAGCTTTAAAAATGGTTACAATTTATGTTTTTAATGCTGGGTACATGAGAAAAAAAAAAAAAACGAAGCGCATTACTTCCACTGATTATTTGCTTTTGTTGTTTGGAAGGAAAAAAAGAAAAAATTTTTGTGTTAGTTCTCAATTTCGAATTGCTTTTCTATCCTTTGACTGTTGTGTATCATCTTACACCTTTTTATCCCAACGAACGTCATAAATGCCTTCCCTCATTTTATTTGTGGAGATTAGATGTGGCTTGACGTCCATCAACGGCTTTTAGTGAATGTCGAAGAAATTAGAAATGACATATATATATATTCGGTGGTATCAGGATAATTTGAAGTATTTTGTGGCTAAGCGAGAAGGGAGAAAAAAATGTAAGAAAGATCGATTTATAAGAAGAAAAATGCTCTCTGTATTAATTGACGTTAAAAGGGAATGGGATAGGGAAGTATTGTTAGGTACAAGGAGGAGAGGAGAAGAGAGGAGGGGAGTGTTATGTGCCAGTCGAGTTTCACTTCCGTTGTCGCATGACTTTGATCGGAAGCGAGCAAAACAGGCATCATTTCATGCCTTTCAGAGAGGGAGGGAGTGGAGGAGAGGAGAAATTGTCGACAATTTGCACATTCTCTTTTCTTTGTTTTAACTGCTTTATTTTTGAAAGATTGGAAAGAAAGAAGAGTAGTGTTGATGTTTATTTTGTGATGTTGTTGTTGTAAGTGGAACTTTTTGCAGATAGAGAGTAGAAGATAGGAGGAAGTAAATTTGTGAAGATCACAATGGATGTAGAAGAAGGATAGGAAATGCGAGAGAGAGAGAGTCACAATTGCAAGTCATTTATTTCATGCAGGTTACTGAATATATATTGTCATCGTCTCTCTTTGCCTACACTTCAGGTATTATTATTATGAGTTGTGTATTAGAGTCTGTGATGTGCGCAAAATGGATGGTTCTGGAGGATAAGGGCAAGCAAGGAGACGTGTGACACAGTGCTCTCCTGGTCTCTTCCAGAAGTCCAACAATTGATGACGACCAGGAAGGAGACATTGTTGCTAAGCACATAGATGGACTGTCACTCTACAATGGGCAAGTAATGGCCAAACTAGGCAGAATGAAGAGGAGAGGTGTGCTACAGAGCGGAGATGCACCCAGTGCTGCTGGTGCTGGTTGATCCGAGGGGTTCCGAATTGTGTTGCTATTGACAAGTGGAACGTTTATACAGCACAGCACAGCGCACAGCACATCAGTTCAGTGTGCTGTGCACCATGCACCCATTTCTCTCAGCTATCGCACTCTCTCTGCATTCATCTCTCTCCCTCTGTGCTGCTGTTATTGCTTATGCTCTATAGCACTGATCCCATCATGTTTGCCTATCCTGGGGCATGTTTCTTGCATGTCTACCTCTGTCCTGCCTACCTACCTATCTATCTATCACCTACCTACCCATCTGTTTATGCTTAGGCCGTCTCTTGGTGTTACGTACGATTCGGTTCTTCTCATCACTTTAGACTAACTACCATTTGAGATGGTGATGATCGCATGGTCCATGTTTGAGGCGCACTTATTCCTTTCATTTGTTGTTCATTGTGGTACACGTTACTCTCACTCTCTCTCCCTCTCTCTCGACAAGATCAACTGTTTCAGAGTACATCTAACTTGGCCTTGGCTAGCTGCTGCTTCATTAGCTTACAATATTTTGGGACAAGTATTAAAGTGATAAAGTTATCTGATATCTGGGATGTTTTCGCTCTTCTAGGAAAAGACATCTTTGCGCTTCATCCTTGTGTATCATACTTTGTGTAAACAATGTGTGTGATAAATACATCCTTATGAATTATCTCTTTTTATACTTTTGCTATTCATAAGCTTAGAACTTATGAATAGCAATAGGAAAGTAAAAATAGGACTGTTAGTAATGAAATGTTTTGATATCAGAGCATTGGTTTTCTTCAAAATGGTTTACAGAAAGATGTAAGATTCCTATTTATTTAATGTGCTGTTGTAGCATATGTGATTTAGATCGTTTGGCAAGGGGTCACACTGAGCAGTTTCTTAATTGGTTGCAAAAGTGGTTACCCTTACTTTGTTTCTTTCGTATACCATTGCTGTACACTTTGTAAGTGCCATGTGGAATTGATTAGGTATATGAGATAGTGCATCCTTTTGTGTTTCTTATGCAAAATTATGAATTAGTTTTTGTCACCACTAAAATCAAACGATACAACTTATTCAGTTCCGCAATAAATTTGTAATAGTTTATTTTTAAAGAAGTTCCTAATCGCTTTTGCTGTTAAAATATGTCTACTTATTGCAAATGAGTTTTGCTTTATTGTGTTTGATTTGATTTCTTTAATCTTATGACACAGAGTCTTTTAATGCGGCGAATTTATTGCAATGATAGAAAATTGTGCAAAGTCACTGAAACGAAGTAATAATAAATCAAATTTCTAAGACATTTAAGAGGTGTATATGGTCAGCCATTTTCTATGCTTAAGCGCATTATGAAATTTGAAATAAATGGTAAATTAAGGTGTATAATTATCACTATAAAAACAAGGTATAATTACCACTGTATTAGTGAAGTAGACCAATTGCTGATATGATAGCCATAAAGCTAATGATTACACAGATAAATCTTGGGGGTTTAGATTTTTTAGATTGAAGTTTAGATGTATCCTTTAAATTATCAGCTGCCAGTGTGCCAGCAATTTCACGGCATGATGTGGAATATGAAATAAGTGAAATTGCAGAATACAAACCCGCAACACTAGCTTCTGTAATCACATGAAACTTTTTTTTTTATCTGCGTAAAAAATAAATTCGGCTTGATGATTTCTTTGATTTTTGGTTGGTATGCTGTAATAATTACGTCGCAACTTATGTTTCTTGTATTAAAAATTATTCAGTTAAATGTATAGAAAGAAGTTAAGTTTTTCAACATAATATAAATATGTGCTAATGTTGAGAAACTAAATTTCGTATTTTAGGGATACGAAACTTGTTTAACAAAGTTGCTTTTATTTATATATATATATATATATATATAGTTGCACTATTTACAAAAATATGTTTTCTTCGTCGCGCCGCGAGATTCATCATAAATATTATTAGTAGAACATATACGTACGTGTGTATTCAGGAACTAACCACATTCATTAACGAGAGGTCGTAGAGAAGTAAAAGGAAGTGGCCTCATGTGGGCTCCAGTTGATAGTACACAAGCTGAAACAGCTTCGCTGAATTCGTGGAGCATTGAACAACAGCAGGTAATTATTGTTAATAAATGATCTAGAAGAGGAAGAGAAAATCATATCGTAATTTACCTGGTTTTTATTGCAAGCTGATTCACCAAGTTATTACAGTTAATCTTTGGTAGCTGTTCTTCTGTAATGTATTGTAGTAGCTTTTATTCAAGTGCTGACTGAAATCATTCTGTAAACATACCAGATGTGCATTTGTCTGAAGAAGCATCTTTTTTGCAGAATCGTTGGGGTGGTGTTAGTGATTACAGTAATAATGCAGCATTCGATGAGCATATGCGATCAATTGTACCACCGGCTTTTCGTAATAGTAATGCGAAAGTTGTTTGGCAAGAACCAAAATCATTAGGTGAAATTTCATTTCAGTTGCATTAATTTCCTGAGCTATTTGAAGTCAATAAATTGCAAAATTAAAAAGCGATTGCTGGCCATATTTTTCTAGAATATTAAACATACTTCAGAAGCAAACATCAATGAAGCATTGGGTATCTGGCAAGCAACGCCTCTCAACCAGTTTTCCTTAGAACAGGAACCATTAAGTGGTTTGTTTTAAATGTAGTTTTTGACCTCCGATTTTATGCACTAAATCAGGTTTGGTTCTGCCCTTTTTAATCTCCCAAAATATCAGTGACAAACCAACGAAGAATAATGGACGATTGGTTCTTCTTTTTATATGTTCTGTTTGAAAAATTTGTCATGTTTTTTGATGGTATATTGAAACAGTTGTAGTCCTGAGTGTCATTCAGATATATATGGACAAGAATATTATATCAGCTAGCCTTAAGTTTTCAAGTTATTTGGTTTCAAGAGTGACTGGAAGAAGATACCATATTAATTGCAATATTAATTACAGGAACTAGCCATTTTCCTCCATCTTTTGCTAGTTGTGGCACAACAAGTGGATGGTCGCAACCTGAAATTGGTTGGTACTTCATTGTTCGTCTTACTGTTTTATTGAAATTCCTTACTGCTGGAGCTAATAAAGGCTTCCTCTGTACCTCATATACGTTTTGGGAGTATTTTAGAACAACGAAATTGGGATATGTCTACGCAGTCACAAACAGTACGAGCAGCAGTACCATTTTGTGGTGGTTTGACTCAGAATAAATTATGGCCGAATGAAGAGCAAGTTTGGGGTGGTGCTCAGCGTCCTCCAGTATTTCCAACAGCTCCGCCACCACCTGCTTATGCTGCAAGTAAGCATTTGAAATAATGTGTTTTTATTCATCTTTATCCACTTCCATAGGAAAATGCGTCGCCTACCAGCTACTTATGCTGTATGTAAATACATGAAAGACTAGTCGAGTTAAATGAAGACAGTTATTTCTAATCTATTTATAGGCTGGCAGCAAAATGCACCACGTGGTAACGTTTTTCCTCTGCCCACACGATTCAGCGGTCCACCATTCGAAAGTAACGCTGTGATGGGAAATTGGGTGCAGCGTCCGATGAATGAGCCAGTACAGCCGCCAGTGCCACCGTCTGCAATTCCACCACCGCAGCGAAGTCGGCTGCAAAATGTTTGGGGTGGCACACCAGCTGTAAACAATACAGTTAATGGAATGTATCTCCCGCCACCTACTGTCGAGTACACTGTAAGATTTCTTTCATCTTCATTATGTCAAATGTCATTAAGGAAGCGCTACCACTGACTTTTGCAAAATCCGGGAAGCTGGATGTATTAGGAAGTTAAAATTTTTTATGGAATTTCTTCTTGAACACTCAGTTTCATCGCGCTCTGTTTTGATTTATCTTGAAGACTGAAAATTGTGACTTAATCAAATTTGATGAAGGACATAATAAAAATTAATTGACTAAACATTTTATCATTTTAGATGCCAAATGGGTTGACACAATGGAATCCTTCAACAGGTAGCAATGGTGCTACAGTAACGGCAGTGCCTGTTGTACCAAAACCACAATTTGCCCAAAACTTTGTGAATCGTTCACCTCCTCCCAATACTTTCAATTCTTATTCACAAGTCTCCAAATCTGATTCGGTTGGTGTTTTTCCACTGATTTTTCGTTTTTGAAACGATACATCCTCATTTCATCGTTCTGTTTATACTTGCTTGTGCCGTATTACAGTTCATGGGAGAGAATGCTGTCTGGCAGGATCCAGAAGGTGAAGTACGTAAATGGCAACGAGATACTGGTACTGCTGCATGGGGTGATCCTGAGAAGCAACAAAGTTTGTCTTTTTTACTTATCATATGACTGCACTTTATTGAATTTATTGATAACAGTGTTGTCAGTTTAATCTTTCAGAAGAAATCAAACGATGGATTATACCAGTCGGAAAAGAATACGACAACTCAGATAACGAAAGTGGTAAGTTTGGCTTTCAGAATTGTCCTTTATAATAGTATTCCAATGTTTTTGTTTGGTCGTGCTTATTCTATTCGCCTCAAGAAAATATATTTCATTTCAGGCGTTCGTGTAATCGTTCCTCTTGGTTGGGGCGATCTTCCTTCAAAATCATCGAATAATAATGCTGCACCGATCTCGGCGAATTCTCTTCCAGCGTGGCCAGCTAGAAGCGCGCAAGCAATTGCTGTCACGGCTTCATCAGGTTTGTAATAAATCTGGTTGCTTATACATCGTGAATTGTTCTGGATTAGCATTGTATGCTTTTCGGGGTGCATGAAAAGGTTTATTGTGCTGTTTAATTATCCTGAGGACCTGGTGGCTGAGGATCATTTTACTCGCCAGGTATTCAGGTTGCATTTGAACTGAGTGATCTCAGACTTTTTTCTGAGAATATTTTTTGAAACTGTTCGTTTAGGATGGGGTAATCGTTCGGCTTCAGGAACTGCGAAATCAACAACCATTCCAACTCTTTGGGAAATTCTATCTGAACATCAGCCTCCATCACTAGAGAGTGGTTGGATACCGCCAGATGGTATGGGTA